CCCCAGGCCCCTTATCTCAAGTCACAGTCTGTCTCAGCTCCACAGCAATTGAGAGACTTTGAACTTAGTGAAATTCAAAGGTGTCTGTGCAGGGGGCTGCTTCCCCAGGGGAGCTTTGTCCACAGCTCAGTTCTCCTCTTTCTTGCCGTTTCCTGTAAGAACAGTTTCCGGAGCTGAAGGAAATTGATTGTTAAGTGAAACCCTCTGATAATTGCCTCTGAAATGCCCGCTGTTACCGTGATTGACTTGGCCGTGAGCAGCCCTGCTCAGCAGTCCTACCACGGTTCCCTCCAGTGCCCTGGCCGTGATGGAGACATCACGGGCCAGCCAAGCCACCATCAGCAACTTCGTAGCAGCGTCATCCTCACAGGCAGCCCTCACCCTCCAGGATGTGATGAAGAGTCTCAGAGAGGTTAAGCCACACGCCTAGGGTCACAGAGCTGACCAGGCAAGTCCAAACCCCAGCCTTTACCCAGGTCCACAGACAGTCCTACTTGGATTTATCAGATGCTCACTGTGTACCTACTTTGCAACCCACTCCAGAATTGCCTGGAGAATTCCACGGACAGAGGAGCCTGGCAGACTACAGTCCATGGGGGTCGCAAAGAATTGGACACAACTGAGCGACCAACACTTTCAGCGCTCATTGTGTACCTACTACCTGCTAGGGGTCAGGTTTCTGTGAACTTGACAGTGGTCAGATACAGCCGCCACCAAGCTCAGAGCTCAAGAGGAAACGCAGAGGGCTTTCTGAGTTCCATGGTGGGGAGGGAGGGGAGCTTGGCGCTGATCAGGGAGTGGTTAGGAGGAGAATGGAGTCTAAGCTGATGCCTCAAGTGTGAGGAAAGGAAACAGGCTAGAGGAATCTGGGTGGGAGTGCAGAAGGAAGGAGCAGGATGTGCAGGGGCCTGGTACCAGAAGCACCAGACACTGCAGGTTGCTCTGAGAGCAGAGCCCAGAACCCAAGCAGGAAGCTGGTCCCAGGGAGCAGGCATTCAGGGTCAGGGGTGGGAATGGAGCGCATCTCCCCCAGGCCAACAGGGGGACCCAGGGGGAGGTGGGAGGAAAGTGCAAAGAGGATGAACCTCAGGGCAAGGTGAAGACAGAGCTGTGAGCTGTCTCCCAGCGAGTCCTGAGCAAGCCTGAGTGCTGTGGACTCTGTGGAGATGGGTGCCCAGCGGAGGGGAGGGGAGCCCGTGGGCTGGCCAAGGGCGAAAGGAGGCTTGCAGAAGAGATGAGGAGGTGACAGTCCGATAAGTCTGACTGAGGTGGTGGGGCGCACATCCCAAACAGAAAGAGGGGATAACGGGGAGGCCCGGAGGTGGGTGAGGGACCATGTGCTTAGAGCCAGCGAGGGAGACACCAGAGGACTCGGCCTTATGGGCAGCTTCCGGGATTTGGAGCAAGGGGGCCGCCAGGAACCCAACTGCCCTCTGAGTGGGTAAGGTTACTACTTCTAACGTATAGGCAGGAAATTGAGGGCTGGAGGAACAAGCCAGGATGTGAACCCAAGGCTCCAGGGTCCCAGCTCTGATCCCTGCCTGGGGCCCCTCATGTGAACTCCCGTCCTCTCCCCTCTCACCCTGAGACCCGAGGGACCCCAAGCCTCCACAACCTGCCCCATCCACCCCCATCCAACTGCCTCAGTTCTTCCTCCCGCACCACCAGACCAGTGTATTTAGCAGTTTCCACACGTCCAGTGCCTGGGGATGGACTGATTGATCTGTAACACTGAAAAAATAATAATGGCTTGATCGTTACTGAGGATTAAAAGTAATCCTTTCGCTGTGGCTATTGCAACTCTGTTATTCACGAGTCAGCGGGCTGACCCGGGCCTTTGAGCCCATGGGACTCCATAAGCTCAAGGAGGCTGGGGGCTGGGCCCCCCCGCCCCGGTCTCCCTCACCCTGGCCGCTCGCCTGGAGAGCCCGAGGGGCCATTGGCCCCCATGTTCCTGAGGCCTGTGACTCCCAGGGTCAGACCTAAGCCCTCAGAAGGTGAAGGAGCAGGCATCCCTACCCAGCGGGGGCGGTACGGGCCAAAGAAAAAGTTCCTCAAGGGCTTGGCCCAGTTTGGAGATTTCAACTAGAGTCACTTTGGTCTTTGCAACCCCATCAACCCTGTGGCTTTTCTGGGGGAAGGGCCCTGATCTGGTCTTTCCCACGTGGGTCCCAGCCTCATCCTCCATGAAGTGGCAATGGCTCCAGGCCCACTCTGAGAAGGGTCTGGCATCCCTGGGAAAGTGGTGGGCCACCAGGCAAGGAAAGGGGGTGTGCAGTGACTGCCAGAGGCTCACCCCTCGAGATATGACCCCAGGGGATGCTCCTGGGGCTCACACACTCCCATCCAGGCCCGGTGGCCGGTATGCATGGTCAGTGCTCAATTAACAGAAGTGACAAGTGTTGTTAACCCCGTGTGTCACACAGTACGTCCTCTGCGGAAGGGTGCTGCCAGCTGTGAATCAGGGACCATCAGGGACTCGGCGTTGGGTGGCGGTGCTTGTGGTTTAGGCTGAAAGGATGCCTCCGAATGGAAAGGGGGGAGCAGAGGTTGAGTGCAGGGGAGCTCCTGGGGTCTCAGAAAAGCCTTTTCTGTGCAGAGCCACAGATAACTGCCAAAGGTTTAGGCGTTTGTGGGGAAGCAGGACTGTCATGCACCCCCAGATCCACATTTCAAAAGCTCCAGGTGCTGTGCGGAGAAGGATGGCAAAGGGCAAGAGAGGACATAGGAGCCTGGGCTGGGGATGATCAGTAAGATGGTTAGAGTAACATTTAAAAATTTATTTTAAATTTATTTTTATTTATGGCTGTGCTGGGTCTTTGTTGCGGCACACGGGCTTAGTTGCCTCACAATATGTGTGATCTTAATTCCCCGACCAGGGTTCAAACCCACGTCCCCTGCTTTCAAGTTGGATTCTTAACCACTGGACCACCAAGGAAGTCCCAAGAGTTGCATTAAGGGTGAGATATAGGGGGTAATAGTCACAAGGTGGAAGGGCTCACTCCAAGTGGGGGTGTTGTAAGCTCCAGTGGGCCTGAGGATTACCCTCAGAAAGGTATCTAGGCATACAGGAGGGGCCAGGACTGGAGGCAGGATCTAGGAACCATCTAGGGGAAGAGAGGCCTGTGGTTCCTGAAGCTGAATTAAGGCGGGGTGGGGCCCAGCCAAGCAAGTATGACAGTAACAGGTGGACAGAGGACAGGAGCTACAAAAAAGACAGGTGGGGTGGCAGGAGGCTTGACTCTGAAAGGGACTTCCCACCCTGCCCCATGTCCCGCGCCTCACAGCTTTCCCCGTATTCAGTGCTCTTGGCCAGAGGAGGTGGGGGATCCAGGCACAGCGGGAGTGGGGAATAACTCTGGGCAGCCTTTCTAACAGCCAGAGGTGACATCCTGCCCAGAGGGTGGAGGCTGCAGCACTGTAAGGATCCCACCAGGCCCCACCATGCTAGAGGGGAGGAAAAGATGGTCTCTCATTTTCCCCGGTGTGCAGCTGCCAGGCTTTATTTTAGAATCTTCCCTCTGGGGCCCACAAGCCATCAGGCCTGGACTGAAGGATGGGAGTGTCTTGAATACCAAGGGGCCAGGGTCCTCTGAGTAGGAGCTGGAGGCCAGAGGGCAGGACCCTACTGCATCACTCATGGGGTGGGAGAGGGCGTTGGGGATCAGAGCCTCTCCCCAAGCACGAGCCACTCTATTCCTCCCCGGGCGTCGTGGACCCTGCAGAGCACGCCCTCGGACCTTGGTCATGGGCTGCACAAGGCAAACTCAACGGCGAGGACCCAGCCCGACCCAGGGTCACTCTGTGACCTCAGGCAGACTGCTCACCATCTCTGTGCCTGGGCATCCTCAGCTGAGGACACATCAAGCGGGCTGTGGATGGTGACAGGTACCCCTGATGTGTTGCTGGCCTGGTGGGGGGCGGGCAGATCAAGCCTGGATGCAGCAGGTGACCAGTTCAGGGTGAGTCGTCATTACTGTTAATAAAACTTCACTCAGTTCCGCAGGAGGCCCTAAAGGGCCAGGCTCGGTTCTGGCCTCAGAAGCCTCAGGACTTCCTAAAGGGGCAGGATCCACGGAATCCACAAAATAAGAATCTCTGGGCAGTGAGGATTCAGGCCCAGAGGGTAGCCAAAGGGTTTTAGCGCCTCCTCCAGGAAGCCCTCCCTGATGTCCTAAGTTCCCACAGATCTGAGCTTCCCGGAAGCACCTCAGCTACTTTTGCCCTCTTTGTTCTGCCTGGTGATGTGTCTGTTTTCCCTTCTGGACTGTGGAAGGCAGGCCTGGCTCTGCCACATCTCCGCACATCAGCATGATCTGGCCCCAGGCATACCGGGTAACAAAGTGCAGGATACACAGACAGCTATGCTCAGAGGCACAGGGGCCTCAGTGGAGGAGGCCACAGGAACCAGTGCCGAACGATGCACCAGGCTTGTGTGGACAGAAAGCTTGGAGATTGCTGCTGGGAGGGGGCTCGGGAAGCCAAGACAAGGACAGTGGGTCTGGGTGGGCAGAGGTGGGCCATGGGCACCTCCTTCTGGGCCCTGAACAAGCTGGGAGCAAATGCATCAGCAAGGCATTCTGTCCCTTGTGTCATTTCATCCTGGACTGGGGAGGGCCTTCCTCTTGGCACTGGATGACACTGGTTTGTAGTGAGTACAGAGTGTCAGTGAGTTTGGCTGCAGGGCCTAGGTCCTGAAACATCTTGGGGATCCCCTTGCCATCCTGTGGGCTTGAAATGTGACTGAGCTGAAGTCCAGGGAGTCCCATGGAGATGCCACTCAGGTCACTCTGTGCAGGCTTCGCCTTTCCTGTGGGTGGTGGAAGGGCCCACACAGCAAGCTGGAGAATGTGTGGGGTTAAGGAATCCCTGAGGGGTCTGGCAGGATGTCCAGGGAACCCCTGAGCCAGCCTGGCCCCGGGGAGTGCTGGGGACGGGGAAGGCTCTGGGCTGGACACAGATCTTCCTCAGCTTCTGACTGTCCTTGCTCTGTCCCTCAGAGATTGGCTGATGCTGCAGAGAACTTCCAGAAAGCCCACCGCTGGCAGGACAACATCAAGGTAAGAACTGCAGTGGCCTCCCCAGGCCCAAGGACCTGTCCACCCCCAGCAAGAGTGGATATGAATGCAGGGGAGGAGGAAGGGGGAGGCTGCACTCACCCACTGGCAGGGCACCAAGGGGTCCATGGGGTGAAACCGGGAACCTTTGCCCAATGTTCAGCAGGCATTTGAGGTTCCCAAATACACTGATGTGGGAGAGCCGCTGGGGGAGAGAGACCCTATCCCCTTCCCGGACTTCCCTAACAGAAGGCCCCCAGGCTGGGATCGGGGACCAGGCTGTCACAGCCAGGAAATCCTCTCCTTCCTCCAGCAGAGCCCAGAGTAAGTGGAGGCAGGAGATGCTGGGAGCAGGACTCTGCTTGAGGACGGAGGGTTCAGAATGTGGGGGAGGGAAGGGATGCCTCACTGACCCCCAGCCTCACATATCTAGACAGTGTGTTTGATTTGGGGTGGGCTGGAGACACTTTTTGTGTCAGAGGATCACAGTAAACCAGCAGAGAGACCGAGGCAGGGTTCCTCCCAGATTCAGGAAACACCCCCATGCCAAGGATGACCGAGGCTTTGGGGACCAGAGCAGTGCAGGGCTCGCTGTGTCCTCCACAGCCACTCGGGAATGTGGGTCACGCTTCCCAGTGGTGTCTATGCTCAGTGCTGGCACTTAGAGCTGGGCCCTGGGACACAGAGGCCAATAAGGGGTGGGGGAGGCCTTGACTCACTCCAGCTCTGAACCCGGTGCCTCTAGGAGGTGGGAGAGACTGTTATTCCTGCTTCACTGATGAGAAGCCTGAGGCACAGAGTGGTTGACCTACCTGAGGTTACCTGTCGGAGGCAGAGAGTCACAGCCAGCCTGTCAGATGCCAGGGGGGCTCATGTCTGTGATGAAGACCCCGTAAACCTGTTCCTTCTCCCAGCCCCCATCCCCCCAGGTCACTCTGAACCCCCACCATAACACTCTTCCTTTGCTCCCTGGTGGGTGCTGGGTGCTACCCTCAGGGAGCTCACATGGGGTTGGAGGTAATAGATGATTGTCTACAGTGAACATGTAAATCAACTAGAGATTCCCTGGACCCCTCCTCCCTCCCTGGGAGCTGGGGGCTGGCCTTTTTCTTGCTCCCCGTTCCAGCACTACAAACCCCACCCTGGGCCACCCTGCCTCTTCAGCCTCTTGATCAGAAATATGCACGGCAGCAGCCACTTTGCACTCCCTGGCCTCTCATACCCGCCCCCGCCTGCAAATAACTGCACCCTGGCGACTCCCCACGCGGCCCAGCCTGAGCCGGCACCCAAGGCCCCAGGATCTGTCTGTCCCTGCCTCTCTCCTGAGCCTGCCTCCTCCCTCTCCTCCTCCTGTGCTCCAGCCACACCCAACACCTAACTCCAGCCCTGTTTCTGATCTCTCCACCCACTCTGTTCCTCGAGGAAGCCCAACATGTCTTGTGTCTTCCCTGTGAGTCTGCTCTGGCTACCCAGCACATCAGCCCCTCCACCTGCTGGGCCTTCGGAACCCTTGGCTCCTGCTCTGTCCTTTCCTTTGTTTCTGATGTATCTGCTCCCTCCCCTCCTGGCCCAGGACAGGTATGCAGAGCAGGGACAGAGCAGAGTGAAGGAATCAGGGAGTCAGGGACTGGAAGCCCTCAGCCTGGCTTTCTCTCCCTCCTAGTCCAGGCCCGGAACTAGAAGAGGAAAGGGCTGCCTCAGCCCCAAACCCATCTTCTCTTCCTGACTCTGCAGAAAACTCAAGAGTCATCTTACTGGATCCCTGACCCCTGATTTTCAGTCAATCCGAGACAGGAACAGCTTATCCCAGGCCAAAGGGGGCATCCCAGGGGCCTACCGGAAAGGAGAGCCCAGGTCTCGGGGGTGTCCAGGTCCTGAGACAGGTGCTATTGAGGACCCATTCCCCGCACACTGGGCACAGTCACCCAGCAAGAGCTCGCCCTTCTCTGAACTTCAGTTTCCCCATTTGGCAAAGGCCTGGCTGGAACTGGGGGCTGTCAGCTCAGGTGTGATGTGTGAAAGGGTCGGTCCACACGTCAGGTCGTGAAGGTGCAAGTTGGAGATGATGTGGGTGCACCTCTGCCCATCCCAGCCCATGGGCTTGGAGTGTTTCTGTCCTGAGGCGGAAAAGGGCCCTACTGGCCCCTGTCCTGACTGAGATGCCCCCACCCAGGGGTGTGACCACAGGGCCAGCTGGGCCCAGCCTCATTTGCCTGATGTTTGTCGCCCACCCCCGCCAGTCCATCAATCTCCCTGTTTGTCCCACAGACAGGGGCGGGTGGTACTGTAGGCGCCCCCTCCTTTCTAGCTGCACCATCAGGGCCATTCTCCTCCCTAGAAGCAGCAAGCTGCCCAGCTTCCAAGCAGAAAGGCATCAGCCCTAATGCTGGGCCCATTAGCCGCTAGGCCAGCCAGCCCTGCCTGGCCTGCCAGGCAGAACTGCCAGGGTGGGAACTGTCTGTGCCACGGGGACGTGGGGACTTGAGACTGCGGAAAGGATGTTGTTTTTGTCCCTTTCAGGCACACCACCCACCCTTGAAAGTGTGCCCTTCCCAAAACCTTCAGGAAGGAGCCATATTCCTCCCCAGCACTCAGGAGCGCTCACAGCCTGTGCCACGACCCCGGTGGCAAACTCGGGCCCTTTGCACAAGCCAGGCCTCCTCCCAGGAAGGTCCTTACCTCCTTCCGAAGGGCAGCACCTCCCACTCCAGTTAACTCCCCAGAGCTCCTCTTTCTGGCCGCAACTCTAGGATCAGCCCCCGCTGCCCACAGCACCCGCCTTTGGTGCCCCTGTCTCGGATGGCTCACAGTGCAGCTCCCCCAGGCCAGTGGCCCCGTGGGCTCATCTGTCTGCCCTGCTCACGGCTCCTGTTGGCCAGAGGCAACTGAGCCTGACTCAGTGCTGCCCATCACCTGTCCATGTGCCCAGCCAGGTGCCCTGTGGACAGAGTGACCAGAGCCTCTGGCTTCTTACCTCTGAGTGGGGTAGGATTGGCACTCAGCAGTTCTGGGCACGGAGGAAACCCTTGACCCATGGAGCCATACTGGACTCCGCTGCATGGTCAGTGGAGTGTGGCCCTGCCTATGTCAATGGCACACAGCAGGTCTGCATGCAGACCTCTGAGAAACAGACAGTGGTGTACCCCCTCCCACACGCACACACGCACACACACAAGCACACCATTGACACCAGCCCATGGACTTGCAGGATCCTGGAGTCTGCAAAGTCAAAGCTGGGAGAAGAGAACATCTGGAAGGGAAGTGCCCCCCATGTTCCTCTCCCTGGTCCCAGGCCATGACACCGCACTCCTGGCAGCAGCAGGGGTAGAGAACCTGTAGCCACAGCCCTGGCTGCAGCCCTTGGACAGCGCGGCCCTTGTTAGCAGGCGGCCCCTCCCGTGGCCCCTGCAGACAGGCAGCAGGTGCTTTGGTGTGCATAACACTTAGGGTAGATGGAGATGGCCCGCCTGGCGGACACTGTGCCTGGTGCCAGCACCTCACTGTGCCAGCATTATCCACCATCTAAACGGTCACCAGGGAGGAGCCGGGCCAGAGCATGGGTCACTGGGGGGCAGGAGAGGCCACTGGTCCCAGGGCCTCAGTGCCAGCCCCACAGCCTGCAGGAGACAAAGCCCTGGCCTTGGGAGTGTGATGGAGGAAGCAGTCCTGCCCTGGGGAGTCTGATGGGAGAGACACAGCCCTTCCCTGGGGAGTCTGATGGGAGAGGCGGCACTGCCTCGGTACTCGAAGGGAAGGCTATGAAGGCTGGTCCAGGCCAAGGAGCCGGCTGGACAGGACAGGTGGCTCCCTGGCCTGAGGTCTGCCCCAGCCATCGGGCCTGCTGCCTGCCTCTCTGCCAAGCCGGCGACAGACGGCTCTCTCGGAAAACAGTCCACTTGGCTGAGCTGAGCTGGCCGTGAGCCAGGGCAGGAAGGCCAAGCGTCCTCACTGATGCAGCGGAGAGCTGGCCTGGGTCCTGCATGGGGGCCGGGCAAGCAAGCGGCAGTCGGGTCCGACCAAGCCACGGCAGCTGTCTTCCACGGCACCAAACGTAGGTGTCAACTGCTATTCCGCTCACACTCACTTCCTCACCCTCTACCCACCTGCCAGCATCCCTCATGCTCTCTCTCAGAGAGTGTGTGTGTCGTGTGTATACAAGAGCTGTGTGGGCCCCCAGCCCCACCCCTCACGTGTCGTGTATGCACAGAAATCCACCTGCGGGGAGACGTGTGTGAATTCAGAGGGGTGATCCCCCACTCCCTGCCCAGTTTGAGCAGAATGGCCCCTAAAATAGCAAGTAATGGAGGGAGTGTCAGAGGTGTCAACCCTGGACATTAAGGACATGTGTCTCACCCCAGCCAGGGGATTTCTTCCATATTCAGGCCCTTCCTGGGGCTGTGGAGTTGTCAGCACAAGGGAGCCCACTCATGGGTTGGGTAGGCCTGAACCCCTGGAGAGGCCTTGCTCATTGTCCTCTTAGCATCATCATTCTTATTTTACAAGTGGAAAATCAAAACCCCAAGGTGAAGCCTCACGGAGGCTGAAGGGTTTAACGGGCACCCTGCCTCATCAGTGAGATGGAGGTGACCCCGAGGAGTCTTCATGGGGCCACAGGGACTTGTGAGGCTTCAGGCTCAGTCGCCACTCACTGTTCAGGATCCCAGAGCTCACATGTTCGGGCCCAGTCAAGAGGCCAGGACCCTTTGCCAGGGCCCCTGCATGTAATCACCAGGTGGTACCGCCTCCGTGTTGTGTCTCAGAGGCGGGGGCACTGGTGGTGGATGCTGGGGCACCTGCAGGCCAAAGCAGACACAGAGGCTTTCCAGGGACCCTCCCACCGACCCTAATGACCCTGTCCCGCCACATCCCCAGTTACACATCACATCAGACATAGTGACCACAGCTGGGTTTACAAGGTATTTTCACACATATGACCTTGCCTGCCACCATCCAAAGCTAATGCCACTCTCTACCAAGGAAGGGGCATGGGCTGGCCCTCTCAAGGTGAGAGAGGTAGAGAGAAGTCCTGCCCACGTGTATCTGAGCCCCTGGGGGACAAAGTGTTGTATTAGTCGCTCAGTCGTGTCTGACTTTGAGACCCCATGGACTGTAGCCTGCCAGGCTCCTCTGTCCGTGCAATTCTCCAGGTAGGAATACTAGAGTGGGTTGCCATTTCCTTCTCCAGAAGGACACAGACTGCATACAGATTCCTGAGCCTCCCAGGTAGTCTGGAGGGGGACTGAATCCTTCCGTGTGACACATTCCCCCTGTGCCACTGATGCCACCAGCATCTCATCCTGCACTGAGACCAGGACAGAGAGACAAAGGGAGCCATTGGAGCAGTTGCAGGGATGCCCAAGTGAGCGCCAGAATCCCAGGGACCGTCCCAGGTCAGGCAGGACACAGGCCTGGCCTATGAGGGGACCCCAGAGGAGGGTCCCTGTGAGGGTCACTCTGGAGGCCTAGAGCCACCGACCCCCACACATGCCCTTTCCTGTCCTTGCAGAAGGTTTGCCTAAAAAGTTGGTGAGCGATGCCACATGTTCTAATCTGCAGTCCTCCCAGTGTGCCTGCCTGTTTTCATTACGGAGGGAAAGAGCATCCGAGCCGTGTTTATAACTCCCTTTTAGATAACAAATCACATTTTCTTTTCGCCAGCGAGTGTGTTGAATTGATATTTTTCCCCTCGGTTTAATGGGTTTGTGTGTTCAGGAATGATCTTCATCAACCGAAACTCCTTATTGTGTTTGATGTAATGTCAGCTTTCATTACGCGCTTCGGTCAGAGCCAGGCCCAGGGAAAGGCCAAGCACCCTGGAGCCTGGGCCCCAGCCCTTACCCCTACCCTGAGCCTACCTGAGCTCCAGTCTCCCTGGACTGGTGGGTGGGCAGGCGCGGGAGGGTTTGGAGATGAGTCGAGAAGGCAGGATGGAGCCAGGGTGCGACTCCTTTTTTTCTCCCTGCCATAGTGTCCTCTTCTTTGTAACCGGGTCATGGGGCTGCTGGGAGAATCCTGCACTATAGTGTGTGTGAGGCCCTGCTAGACACAGCAGATGCCTCACAGGACTGAAACTTCAGTCTTTGAGTCATCAGGAGGTTGTGGTCTTACCCAGGCGTGGCGCCAGGTGTGTAGTCAGTGTTTCAGAATGTTCAAACTATGCCCATAGGTCCAGCCAGTGGCCAGACCTCTGGTGGGAAACAGCCCATACAAGTCTGGGTACCAACCACCTCAAGCCTCACACCCAGCACCTGGACAGTCATCAAGGCTAAGCTCCTCCCTGAAGCCCGAGGAACCTGAGCCCAGAGAGAGAATAGCATAGCCCTGAGGTCACACAGCAGATGGCACCCAGCCAGGCCCGGGCAAGGGATAGCCCATCGTGGAGTTAGTGCTGGCTCGATGTTATACAGCCAGACCACAGCAGACTCGGTCATCCTTCCCACTTGCAGACCACAAAGAAGCAGGCTCCCTGGTGAGCAAGGGCCCACTAGGGCCATGCTGCAGGTTCCTGCCGTACAAAAGAGGGCTGAGGAGCACCGGGGGAGGGTGACTCAGACCATGGCCCTAGCTCGAGCCCTGCCCTGGGGCCATCGAGGCAGGGATGGGGTGGCCCATCCTGAGCGGTGGCACCTGATGGCACCAGATTCACCTTCTGGCGGCCTCTGTCAGCCGTGCTCAGTTCTGATTAAAGATCATTAAACATGAAATTAGCCCGTTTGTGTTACGGGTCCCCGGGGTGGCCGGTGATTATGACGTGCAGATGGCCGAGAACCCCGGCAGCGAGCAGGAGGGCCAGGCCAGGACGGGCAGCGCTAGGAAAGGCAGGCAAGGCCGGGAGGCAGGCGCGGGGGCCGGGCTTTGTTTTCTCCCGCTCCTGTTGTGTAAACCCCCTCGCATTTCACAACAAATCACAGATAATTAATAAGTACACGCCCGTAATGAGCAGGCTTTTTAATAGAAGAAATTGGAAGATGCGGTGTCGAGTCATTATTTCACTCTGTCCCAGTCTCGCTCTATTTTTCCGTCTTCCCCACTTCCCCCTTGGTTACTGCCTCAGCCAGAGTCCCCGCGGACAGGCTGGCTGTCAGCCTACCTCGAAGCAGGGCTGCAAGGCAGAGACCTGGGTCCTGGACTCAGGGAGCCCTGGGGGATCCCACCCTAACCCCGGGCTACCACATCCTCCTGGTGCCTGTGAGGGCCCCTGAGGATGGTCTGGCTGGGGTGGGGTCGGGCCTCCCCAGCCTGACTCATCCAGCCCTCCCTGGACCGTAGCTCTGGATGGGGGAGAGGGCGGTGTCTGCCCCCCACCCAAGGAATCTAAGGGGGCCATTCCAGGCAGGCCTTAGAGCTGGGGGTCCTGGCTGCACCTCAGACCATGACTGTTGAGGCCTCTCTCTCCCACCAGGAGGAAGACATCGTGTACTATGATGCCAAAGCCGATGCTGAGCTGGTGAGCGCCCCACCCTTGCTGGGGGGAGGTGGGGAGCTGCTAGAGCCACACCCCCCTCTTCTGAGACTTGTAGCCTGGGCTGGAAGAAGAGTGTTAGGACTCAGCATTCTGAGTCTGGCCTTGCAGGGCTGTGATCCCACATCCCCCCACCTCCCACCACTCCCTAGAGACCCTGACCCCTCCCGGGCTGTGTCTTTAAGGCACCAAAGGGCACAGCCTCACTGCGCAGTGTGGGGCGGGCCCAGCCCGTCCCTGGGCAGGACAGTGAGGCCCACAGACCTTCTCCCCTGGGTCAGATCGGGTGCCTCGTCGGGAGGGCAGAAGGCTGCTGCGTGCTGGGAGAACAGGGGAGAGAGGGAGCAGGTGGGGAGGGCTTCCTGGAGGTGGGCCTGCAGGGCCGGGGTGCGGGCGTGTTTCCGGTCAGCGCAGGTCCCTTTGCTGTGGTGAGGGGACCGTGGCTTCCGTGTGCGAACCACCGCACAGCCAGGCCCCACCATCAGTGCTGGCCCTGGGCTAAGTCATCTTGCCCCCGCCCCTGTAGAGGCAGCCTGCAGCCTGTTCAGATGAAGGAGAGGGCTCTGGCTCCTCAGGGGTCACCACCCCTGAAGTGGTGACCCTGGGACTGGCCGGAGAGCCCGGAGTTACACGGCTCTTCCGCCTCCACTTCCCTGACTGGTTCATGTCTGCGTGGGCAACTCTGCGACAGAGAGAGGGCCCCATCACCAGGGGACTCACATGAAAGATGTGTGACCATCTGAGGTGTGAGGGGGCCTACAGAGGAGACCAGAGTGTCTGAGGGGGCAGGCACAGGGAACAGACTGTTTAGTGAACCTGCCAAGGTCCAAGTTCATCTGCCTGCCTTGAGGCAAAAGTAGTGGAACCCCACTATCTCCTCTGTAAATGAAAGTGTCACAACTCAGTCTCTGGAGTCACCTGTGCTGGCTGGTGCAGGAGACCCCAAGTCTAGACTCCCATTCCCAGGCCTGCCAGCCCTGGGGAGGTTGCTCGGGAGCCCCCAGGATGTATCTGATAGCACCAAGAGGTGGGCAGGCAGGAAGGGATTCCTGCAGAGGGTCTGTGGGTGCCAGGCCAGCCTCGCTGAGCCTTCAGGAGGGCAGGCGGGCAGGGGGCCCGAGAAGGCGGGGTTGGGGGGGCTAAAGCAGGTGTGCTTCCCCCTTGGCTGAGCCTCTGTGGCTCCCAGAGAAGTTGCTAAAATTATAGCTGGAATCTGAAATTCAAATGAAGAGCAAACCTTTAATTAGACCCTGAATTTAATTCCTTACCCCCCTCAGCAGCGGGCTGTGATTTTAGCAATCAGTGCATTAAATATAAACCAGGAGACTGCGGCTGCCCACCATACAAAAGCCCCTGGGCGTGGGGGCAGCACTGAGGGGCTCCTGGGCCAGTCTGGTGCCCGACCTCCTCCCTGGATTCCCTGTTCCCTGCAGCCCCCAACCCCTACCTCTATATCACTGCCCCCAGCCCCTTGGACATCTTCTGGGGGGAGGGGAGGCTAGAGACTGCCCAGGGAGGGGATTCACCCCCGGGTGGGACTGGGCCAGGGTCAGTTAGGCAAGAATCCCAGCCCTGCCAGCCCCAGTATAAATATCAGCATGCACACATTCCCCAACTCTCCTGCCTGTTGTGTTGTTTTGTTTTTTTTATCTTTGCCAGAGGTACAGTTAGAGATCTTTCTAGACCATTTACTTTTAAATTACCAGCCAGAAGGTGGGGGTAGGGGGGAAAGAAGGAAGGAAAAAGTTCGCCAGCTGATAGCTTATCAGAACAGAATCCAAATGTCACATTAGTTGGGAAAGTTGGGAGATTAAATTTTCTAGCGCCCTTCATCTGCCGCTGACATTTCGGGGGCTTTCTTCTCCTGCGCTCCCCCTCCTCCCAGCAGAACGTGAGTCGCTCACGCCTTGGCTCCCCGGCGCTGGCCTCCATTCTCAGCAGCTGCCTCTGCCCCGGCTTCTGAGGGTCTCCCCTAGGGTGTGCCGAGGTGGGCAGTGGGGTGGCACCCTGGGTAAGGGGCAATGAGAAGGCAGCAGATGGCTTGGGTTTTGCCATACATCTTGAAGAGATGAAAAGGGTGTTTGTGCAGGAGGCCTTTCCGGCCAGCCAGCCAGCCTGCTGCGCGCCCCCATCCAGGCAGTAATTCATTCCCCAGACCTGAAGGTGGACCCTCCGCACTCCCCGGGTGGGGAGGGCACATCTGGCTGGGTGGGGAACACGAGGGGTGTGCCCAGGACCCAGCGAGCCAGTGAACAAGCGGTGGGGCCGGCCATCACGTGAGATCCACCTGGGAGAGCAAGCGAGCTCAGCCTGGTACTGGGGGTGGTCATGGGAGGGGGGCGGTGCTGAGGGGCAGTGCAGGAACCTGTGTCTGGTTCAGCTGCTTGGGTTCCCTCCCCCCAGGTCACAGAGCTCCCCAGATCTGTGCCCCCCCACCCCCGCCCCACCTTGCCTGGGTCTCACTGATCTCCCCTTGCCTCCCCATCTGACTTTCCCCGTCTTCACCTTCACTTTCTACTTTCATCTTCCCTTCCCCCTTGCACACCTGCACCCGTGCCTGCCCACCGCCGCCACCGCCGCCGCCCCCCCCCTCGGCTGCGGCATCAACACTGTAGTCGCAGACTCACTCCCGCTAGCCTGTGGTGGGCGGGGGCACACGGCGCATGCCCAGCCTGCCCGGTGGAGAGATGCCGTAATTGGCACCTGTCAGACGGCGGCAGCTCATTTTAGAAAGTCAACGGGGGCCTTGCTAGTCCTGCTGCTAGCAGGCGCCGCACACCCCTCCTTCTGGAGGTTACTGGGCCTCCATGCTACCCCTGCCCGAGCCCAGCTCTCTCCCCAGGACTCCCCCCACTCTAGCTCAGCCCCTGGAGCCACCCCACTGCAGGGGGTGGTGCCCGCCCCCTGCCCCCCCCCCCTCGCAGGTGGAGCTAGGGCCCTCTCCCTGGTGCCAAAGGAATGTCATGCAGGGGGTGGGTGGGGCCAAGTTGCAGGGTGTACTCTCAAAGCAGGGTGTACTCTCCCTCCAAAGGGAGGGGGTCCTGAGGCCACCCCCATGATTACACAGAGCGAGTCCTTGGAAGCCTGGCAGGGTTGGGGGGGGCGGCCGGAGCCCACTCCTCTCTGCCTCCAAGATTTGCCTCCTTTGCTGATCATTGGTTTTCAGGGATGAGGGGAAGCACTTGCCGATCATTGATTTTCAAGGATGAGGGGAAGGGCTTGGTTTGCTTTTGGTTTTGGAATTCAGGTTTAGCAAATATGGCGATGGTGGGTGGGATGTGTGGGGCAGGTGGGAGTCACAGGACCCCTGGGCAAGGGGTCCATACCCATGTCCCACTGTCTGGGTGCCTCTCCATCTCTCTTTGTCTCTGAGTGCAGTAGTCTCTGATTCCAGGATGCCCCATCTCCCAGATTCTGGCCCCTCTGTCTACAGTTCTGTCCAACCCCACTCCACCATTTCCCAGCCCTGACACTACCGTGGTTGTCCGGGTTGGGGGGTCCCTCTCTGCAGGACGACCCTGAGAGTGAGGATGTGGAAAGGGGGTCCAAGGCCAGCACCCTCCGGCTGGACTTCGTTGAGGACTCAAACTTCAAGAACAAGGTCAACTATTCATACACAGCCGTGCAGATCCCCACGGACATCTACAAAGGCTGTGAGTGCGCGGCGTGATCGGGAGCATCCCTTTCCACCCAACGTGGGGGGCATGGCCCACTGCCCCGGTGCTGCCGGCTCCCGGGTGCTAAGTCAGTGCCATCCACCTTCAGCCCCCTTCACCCAAGGTCACACGTGCTCACCTCTCAGAGCCGCCCACACACAGGTATCAGGCCACTCTCAGGCACAGCCTCACACTGCCTCTCAGCAGGGTATGCAACGCTGAGCCTCTCACCCTTTTGCATGCATGGTCTGCCCGTGTGTATCCACGTGCCCACACAAATGCATGCACATAACTGTTTCCCCCACATGCTGGGCCAAGTCCCCACTGTCCCCAGAAGAGCTCCTCCCCGCCACCCTCGCCCATTCCCTGGCCCCAGGCAGGAAGGGTTGAGGACCTACCACAGTAGATGGACACAGGGGTTGGGAGGACAGGGAGCAACTTCTCACTCACAGACATGGACCCTGTAACACTTCCCTCGTCATTCTTGGTGGGTGGGGCGGGGTGGGGTGGAAATAGAGGTCAGGGGATTAGGTAAAGGGTGGTTGAGATTCCCAGCTTCAGGGACAGTGTATCTTGGCATAATGTGGAGACCAGTTCACTACAGCTAAAGGATTCAAGTCAGACACGAGGATGACCTTGCTGAAGAACTTGCGAGGTGCAGGGAGAAGACGCCAAGAGTCAAACACTGACTGGGGAGCTCCGGCTGCAGGATTGAAGGCTCTGGGGTCTCTTGGTCCTGACATAATTCTGGGGGCACCCACAGAGTAGCCTCAGAATTCAAGGGGCCTATGGGTGGGGGTTCTTGAAGCAAAGATTCCGGAGCTTCTGAGTGATCTTCAGAAACCCTGGGAATCCTCCAGGGTTCTCGGGGAGGCCCCCTGCACCTTTAGGGTCAGCCAGGCCATCTGGGCAGCCTCAGGCAGGAGTGAGGGTGGATGTCCCTCCAACCCCCCAAGGGCCGCCCACAGGCCACCTGCCTGAGTCAGTCGGGGGGCACTATCGCAGGCAGGCACGCTAATTAAAACAGGAGCCACACCGCCCTCCCCAGTCACCCCTCGCTACCCACACAAATTACATTTTATATGTTTTTTATTTACTGTGTCACTTTTAATTAAATCTGTAATCGCCTGCCTGAGGGGGCATGGTCCCTGTTTCCCAGCTCAGCGTGATCTAAGAGTGTGGGCACGTGAGTGTGGGTGAGTACGCACAGGGCTGAGTAGCACGCCCTTTCCAGGTGGGGGGCTGACTGTAGTGTGTGCACGAGTGTGTCTCACAGTGAATGTGTGAGCAGCATGTGGTCATGGATACCTGCCAGGACAGCCCAGCCAGGTCTCCTCTCGGTCCTTGACCTGAGTCAGGGACACCCCTCTGCCAGCAGCTAGAGGGGCTCCCAGGATGATCTGTCTGCCCTAAGCCTCTCATTGTGCAGATGGGGGAAACTGAGGTCCAGTGAGGAGTGGGACCTGCCAGGCAGACTCTTGCAGGGCGGACAGTACAGTGTGAAACATTGGAGAGCCTGACTTCATTTTTTCCTTAGAGAGAAAAATAGAAATTGTACAATTCACTAAGTTTCTAAATTAGGAACGAGACCATAACATACTGTTCAATAGGCACAACCAGTGCTAGAAATGTGTTTTGTTTTCACATTATGGTCAGTTAAGAGAAGCCGCAGGGCCTGAGAGAAGGGAGAGAGTGCCGAAGGGGGCAGAAGGCAGAGGCTCCACAGACTGGAGAGCAGAGGGAAGAATGCCCTGAAATATGCTGGCGCCCCCTAGGCTGTGAGACTTGGACCATAAAGAAGGCTGAGCACCGAAGAATTGAGGCTTACAAACTGTGGAACTGTGGTGCTGGAGAAGACTTTTGAGACTTGCTTGGACAGCACGGAGATCAAGCCAGTCATTCCTAAAGGAGATCAACCCTGAATATTCATTGGAAGGACTGATGCTGAAACTAAAGCTCCAATACTTTGGCCACCTAATGGGAAGAGCCGACTCACTGGAAAAGACCTCAATGCTGGGAAAGATTGAAGGCAGGAGGAGAAGGCGGTGACAGAAGATGAGATGGTTAGATGGCATCATCAACTCAATGGACATGAGTTTGAGCAACCTCCAGGAGACAGTGAAGAACGGGAAACTCTGGCGTGCTGCAGTCCGTGGGGTTGCAAAGAGTCAGACATGACTGAGCGACTGAACAACAACCTAGACTGTGAGCTGACCCTGGAGCATTTGCCTTTTCTTTCTTTTTTTTTTTGTTGGTCCGTGTGGCATGCAGAAATCTTAGTTCCCTGACCAAGGATCAAACCTGCAAACCTGTGCCCCCTGTAGTGGGAACTCAGAACTCTTAACCCCTGGACCACCAGGGAAGTCTGCATTTGTATCTTTAAATCCCAGCTTTGGGAATTCCCTGGCAGTCCAATGCTTAGGGCTCCATGATTCCACTGCAGGGGGCACAGGGTCCATTCCCAGTTGGGGAACTAAGGTCCCACATGCCACATAGCATGGCCAAAAACTTAAACAAAAAATAAATCACAGCTCTTCGTCTAAGGGTTTCTTGAGAGAAGCATGCATGCTAAGTCACTTCAGTCATGTCCAACTCTTTGCCACTCTATGGACTTTAGCCTGCCAGGCTCCTCTTCCCATGGGATTCTCCAGGCAAGAATACTGGAGTGTGTTGCTATGCCCTCCTCCAGGGAATCTTCCTGACCCAGGGATCGAACCTGCGTCTCCTGCGGCTTCTGCATTACAGGCTGATTCTTTACCGCTGAGCCACCGGGAAAGCCCCTTGAGAGAAGAGCAGAGCCTTTGGAAGACATTCTCTGGTTCTCATCTGGGGTGTGCATCTTCAGGGAGAGGGGATGGTGTCAGGGCTCCACCGGGGGAGAAAGGAGGTGGGAGAAGTTAGAAGAAGAAATAGCCCCTGGGGGAGCTTTGGGGGACAAAGGCCTGAAAGTAGCAGGCCTGATGTTTTTTCTGAGTGTCCCAAATGCAGGGACAGGTACAATGCACATGCGAGGATATGGGCTACACGCCTTCACTGGGCAGATTTAGGGCTGTCCTGAGTTGAGGGGGAGTGGGGCATACTGCTTAAGCCATCCTGAGTCTCTGCCCAGGTTGAGGGATCTACAGGATGGAGTCCATCTGTCTAAGAGAAGCCTTACTCTGTGCGTATGGGTCTGGCCACCCCCACACACCGGTCACATGTGCAGCCACAGCGGCTGGGGGAGACGGAGGGTTGGGTAACTTGTTGGGGGAGGTGAAAGCAGGATTCATAGGTGTTCTCCTGTAGGGGCAGAGTGGTATGCAGGTATGAGCATGTGTGCCCCTGCACACACAGTCAGGCTGCTGGGCAGGTAGGTTTAGGGCCACAGTCAGGCTGCTGGGCAGGTAGGTTTAGGGGTGAGGAGGTGACGCATGTCGCTGGAAACAGAGAGGTGAGATGTAGGTGTGCCTGGTGTATACCTGCAGGCAGTGTGAAAGTGCAGGGTGTGTGTGTGTGTGTGTGTGTGAGCGCACGTGCCAGTGTTGGAGCAGGATCATGGCACAGCCCCTGCCCCTCCAAGAGCCCCCGCCCCCACCCCTGCCTGCTCCTGGCCCTAGTTGATTAATCATGGAGCTGAGTGGCTTCCAGCTTATCAGGTACCTTAATAGCTGAATAATTCCAGCCCCATCATCGGGCCCTTAATTGCTTTCTTGTGGCTGCAGCCCGGAGTGCATGCTGAGTGGGTGAGCTCCCAAGGGACCAGCGGCAAGCTCCCGGCAGCAGGCCGGATGGGCGTTTGGGCTCAGAGCTCCCTGCCACCTGGGTGGCCCCTCTGCAGGGGCCACGGGCCCCAGCTGCCCTGCCTGGTCATGTGGGGTCCTGGCTGAGGGCAGACTGAGCTGTTTCTTGGGAGGGGATGAGGACCAGGATATCTTCATGGAGGAGCTGGTGCAACCCCAGCTGAGCCCTGGGAAGTGAGGGAGACCCGAGGAGGCAGAGAACTTTCTGAGTGGGAGGCACGTGAGTGGGTGTTGTGATGAGGTTCAGCGGGGGAACCGCTGAAGTGCTTCCCACCCCAGCCCCCTGCTTCACCCTCCAGCCACCGTCATCCTCAATGAGCTCAACTGGACGGAGGCCCTGGAGAATGTGTTCATGGAGAACCGCAGGCAGGACCCCACGCTCCTGTGGCAGGTCTTCGGCAGTGCCACGGGAGTCACTCGCTACTATCCAGGTGGGCGCCAGCCCATCTCCCCAGTCCACTCAGCACCCCACCCCCTCCACCTCCCCCCACCTCATCCTGGGTGTGTGGGAGGGGATGGTCACCTTGTCCATTTCAGGGTGACCTGGCCCACTGCTTCAAGGCCTGCTACCTGGGCCAGGCACTTCCCTGCCAGTATCCTCCCCCAACCCAGTCATCTCCTTTCCTCCCGCAGCTACGCCGTGGCGAGCCCCCAAGAAAATCGACCTGTATGATGTCCGCAGGAGACCCTGGTGAGCGAGCATAGAGGGGTTGGGCAGGGACACCCCCTCAGCTCGCCTGCCCGCCCCCCTCCCCCCCAGTATCCAGGCCTCCGAGCAGGGCGCAGCCAGCTCTATCCAATTTTCATTTCACACATCGTTGCCACTGGAAAATGGATCCCATCACCCAGGCAGGCCTCCCAGCTGCCTCTGCCCTCATCCACTGCCCGGCTCTCCACCCTCTCAGGACTGAGGGATTGGGCCCATGGGGGTTCCCAAGGGGGATGTGTCCTCTGCAGGGTTGGCCGGCACCTGCTGTACCCCTTCGGACCCCTGGACACCCCTACCCTCTCCCCGCCTCTCCTGCTGTACTCCATGGCCTCATCCCCTGCCACCTGTTCAACCCCCTTCGCAGCTATGACTCTCTGCCCTTGGCATCTCGACCCAGGCTAGGGGAAATGACAAGCCACTGAGGCCACAGAACATGCCTCCTGTCCACTCTCTGGATCACGTGCTCACCTCCCCTTGGGGTTGTCCATGTGTTGGGGGCCAGGTCACTCATGCCACGGGCAAGGACTGTTTCATTAAACGTGGTATCCTCAGTGCCGAGAACCCTGTCCGGCCCAGGCCATGGACCCACCATAAAATCATGTTGAATCAGTATGGGGGTGAAGGAAGGAAGACCCCCCACCAAGGTCCCAGTAAGGCTGGCCCTAACTGAGGCTTCTCCTGGACAGGTATATCCAGGGGGCCTCGTCGCCCAAGGACATGGTCATCATCGTGGATGTGTGAGTGAGCGGCACTGGCCAGTGGGGTGGGGGCAGGGCTGGGGACTGGAATCTGCTGCTGGGGAACATCTTGGGGGAACACTACCAGGCGCCTCCGTGACCCACCCCCCTCCAGGAGTGGCAGTGTGAGTGGCTTAACCCTGAAGCTGATGAAGACGTCAGTCTGTGAGATGCTCGACACGCTCTCCGATGACGACTATGTCAACGTGGCCTCGGTGAGTGCCAGGGGCCCAGAATAGGTCACTCCCTTCCAGCCCCTGCAACCTCTTCCTTCCCTGGGCCAGCCTGAGGCCACTCACCACCGTCTTGGTCCCTGCAGTTCAATGAAAAGGCACAGCCTGTGTCATGCTTCACACACCTGGTGCAGGCCAACGTACGTAACAAGAAGGTGTTCAAGGAAGCTGTTCAGGGCATGGTGGCCAAGGGCACCACGGGATACAAGGCCGGCTTTGAGTACGCCTTCGACCAGCTGCAGAACGTGAGCCCCCTGGGTGGGCGAGCGGGCAGCCAGGGACGGGCAGAGGCCTGAGCTTGGTGACACCAGGGAAATCAACACAGATGGCCTTGTTAGCATCCAAAAGGCAGGTCAGGCAGACAGCACCGTCTGCTGTGGGCAGGGAGGGGCAGAGGGTAGGCCTACCTTTGGGAAAGAGACACCCCCCAGACTGGGGAGGGGCCCAGAGCTGACCGTCCAAACGTCTCCTCCTGCCCAGTCCAACATCACTCGTGCCAACTGCAATAAGATGATCATGATGTTCACGGATGGCGGCGAGGACCGCGTGCAGGATGTCTTTGAGAAGTACAACTGGCCCAACCGGACGGTGAGGCTCAGCCCAGGCGGGAGCTGCCCCGACTTGGTCTGGTCCAAGGGAGGGGCTGTCCACTGATGGCCACGGCAGTAACCTCAAGCCCCAAACAGGTGCGCGTGTTCACTTTCTCCGTGGGGCAGCACAACTACGACGTCACACCGCTGCAGTGGATGGCCTGCACCAACAAAGGTACCTCATCCGGCGTCCCTGCCACAGGGCTTGCCTGCCGTGTCCTGCCATCCATTGGGTTGGTTGTCCACCTGTCCTTCCGTATGTTCAGCTTTCCCGCTGCTTGTCTTCCCATATGTGTGACTGTCCATCTGTCTATGTGGCTGCTTGTCCGTCTGACTTCTTTCTGCCCATCTGATTGTCCATTGTCCATGTGTCCCCCGCTCATCTGCTCCTGAGTCTGTTTGCTGATCAGTCTGTCTCTCCACACAATTGGGCCTGGCTCCCCGGTGGACTCTGAAGTTCACCGCCATCCTAGAATGAGGGCCTTCAGGCCTCAGGCTCCTCCTTTCATCCCAGTTTTGCTTCCTTACACCCCTGCTCTCACAGCCCCTTGCATGTCGTCACAAGGTAATGGCAAGGGGCATTAAAGGGACGTGAGTTCAGGGGAAATGACACCAGGAAAAGGGAAGCTGAGAGAGAAGTCAAGGCTGCAGACACACCCCCAGGGTACAGAGCCCGTGCCATGCTCCCAAGCACCACCACCCAGGCCCCCACCTCTGTCTCCCCTCCCCTCCGCAGGTTACTATTTTGAGATCCCTTCCATTGGTGCCATCCGCATCAACACGCAGGTAAGACTGGGGTGGGCCAGCCCTCCTCACAGCCCCTTTTCTTTGCTTGGCTGGGACTTTGGAAAGATGGGCTGCTGTGTGATGTGAGTGCCCCCTGGTGGCTGATTGGTACACAGAGAGACAGAACCGGGAAGATTCAGTGGGAGGGGCAGACTCATGACCCCACCTCTGCCCGACTCCCTCCCCAGGAATATCTGGACGTATTGGGCAGGCCCATGGTGCTGGCGGGCAAGGAGGCCAAGCAGGTGCAATGGACTAATGTGTACGAGGATGCACTGGTAAGGACTCAGGGCAAGGACGGGGAGGGGCCGACCACCTTCCTCTGGGTTGTGCCCACAGGGTCAACTCCTATGAGGCCCCCCTAATGGTGGTAAACCAAACAAATGAGAAAGAGAGGTGGCCTGTCCCTGCAGCGCCCCTGCTCTGAACACTCAGGGTGGGGGCACGGCTGCCCACAGGAGTCTGACCCATACTCTTCCTCTCCTTTCAGGGGCTGGGGATGGTGGTGACAGGGACCCTCCCTGTTTTCAACCTGACACAAGATGGCCCTGGGGAAAAGAAGGTGAGGCCTGGGGAGGGTTGGGTATGCCCATAGCAGGTCTGGGATAGAGGAAGGACAGGAGGTTGCAAACCCGACCAGGGTGGCCACTTGTGAGAGCAACTTGAGGTCATGGGCGTGAGCGGTTGGGCAAGGTGACCCCCTCCCAGGGAACTGAGCCCACTGCAGACCCCTGCCTCTGCTCCCAGAACCAGCTGATCCTGGGTGTGATGGGCATCGATGTGGCTCTGAATGACATCAAGAGGCTGACTCCCAACTACACGGTGAGTGTAATTCACCTCTCCATCCCCCTGCTCTCCCTCTCTTGTGGACATAAGCCAGGCTCAGCAGTGGCTGATGGGGATTCCCACAGCTCTGTGGAGTACTCTGAGTTCAGGCAGTCTGGGAAGGCTTCCAGAGGAGATGACCTTGGGCCTGGAGCTGGAATGGGCAAACTTTCTGTCAAGGGCCAGACTATGAGTATTTTAGGCTCTGCCAACCTAAATACGCATACTCAATTCTGCTGCTGTATTGAGAAAACAACCAGAGACAAAACATAAATAAATGGGTATGGCTATGTTCCAATATAGTTTTGTTTGTGGATACTGGAATTTGAATTTCAGATCATTTTTACATGTCATGAAATACAAATTCCTCATTTTCAGTCATTTAAAAATGCAAAAACCATTCTTGGCTCACAGCACCACAGTAATAGGCAGCGGGCCAGATGTGGTCCATGGGCCCTAGTTTGCTGACCCCTGGTCTGTCACCTAGGCAGGAGTGTCCCAGGTAGAAAGGAGGGGAAGGCAGGCCTTGGAGGCAGAGGGAACTCTCTGGACAAAGGCTTGAAGGTGGAAAACAGAATCACAAGCCAGGGAAGGGGCTAGATCACTGTGGCTGGCCCAGGGCCCATGGCAAAGGGAGTTTGGGATGCGGTTGTGAAAGGGTTGGGAGATGGATGTCAGCTTGCTGAAAGGTGAGCCACGTGAAGGCCCCTGGGTCACTGGCCTCCATGTGCAGTGAGAAAACTGTCTCAGGGAGGTAAGGGGTGAGTCTAGAGCCCTGCTTTTCTTTCCCTTCCACCGGGAAGGGACGCCCTAGGTAGTCCAAAGGTATTCTTGTCCCCCTGTGTTCTACCAAGATGGGGACCAGGAAGAGACTTGAGTGGGGAGGGGAGGGGAGGGCAGCACAAGGGAGTGCCTTGTGGGACCAGTGGTGGTGGGGAGGTCCCACTGATCAGGGGGAGGAGCTGAGGAGGCCAGATTGCATTCAGGTCCCACAGGGCTAGCCAGTGTGGGCAAGGGCTGCTGCATGAGGGGCACCAGCCTGCTGGGCTTGGCTTGACAGGTAGGCTTGGGGCCGCATGGCATGTGGGGGCCCCTAGCCCAGGCAGGCAGACGGCACCCCCCACCCCAGCAGCCTGGAAGGCAGGATGAGGAAGAGCCTGGAGACCGGGAAATTCCCTGCCCAGCCCTCCAGGCCCTAAGCCCCCTATCTACACCCCTAGCTTGGAGCCAACGGCTACGTATTTGCCATTGACCTGAATGGTTACGTATTGCTTCACCCCAACCTCAAGCCCCAGGTGAGCCAGGTGGGGTGGCCTGTAGGGTTGGGGGTGGGGGGATGAACCCTTTGAGAGCGGGACTCCTGACTTCCTACCCGGCCTCCCCTAGACCACCAACTTCCGGGAGCCTGTGACCCTGGACTTCCTGGATGCAGAACTGGAGGATGAGAACAAGGAGGAGGTAAGGAGAAGGGAAGGAGGGATGGGGGGGAAGGAGGGGCACCCAGAGTGGGGAAGGGTCAGGGCTCCGCCCTTCACGTCTCTGGCCCTTCCAGATCCGCAGAAGCATGATTGATGGCAACAAGGGCCACAAACAGATCAGAACCCTGGTCAAGTCCTTGGATGAGGTGAGAAGGTGGCGGAAGGGGGATAGCAGGTCGGGGGTGGGGGGGTCACACCCTTCGACCCCCCATTTCACCCCTGCCTGCTGCCCCAAGTACCTGACTCAGCGTTTTCTCCCAGAGGTACATAGACGAGGTGACACGGAACTATACCTGGGTGCCCATAAGAAGTACTAACTACAGGTGAGCCGGCCGGCTGGGCAGGCAGGGAAGGGCTGGGGGCCACAGAGCCTGAGCCCTGCTGGGGCGCCCTTCCCCACCCCCAGAGCCCCAGCCTGAACCCTGCTGCTCCTCCCTCCCTGAACCCCAGGTGCCCATTCTCCCCAATCCTGCCAGGGCTTTCAGCAGCCAAGACTGCTCACTTCTCACTCCCTGGATGCTCAGTCCCCAAGGGTCTATCGCTGGCCCTTCATGAACCAGCAGTGTCTCGTGGGAGCACAGGGCAGAGACAGATCAGAGCATCTGACGTCTCCCCGCTGCCCCACCGCCCTCTACACCCCTCCCTCCCACCTTGGATCCTATCCCTGGATGTCTGCATCAGGATGTCATCCCTCCACGGCCATCACAGCGCCAGAGCCGGTCCCCCTGAGGGTCAGGCCCAGTCAGTACCCGCTAGCTGTGTTCCACATGCCTCATGGTCCCCTCCTTCACACTCCAGTGCCAGCCCACGAGTGCCCTCACTGTGTCAGTGCCAGCCCTGCTTTTAGCTGACTCTCCCATGGCCTGCGCCTCTGGGGACTCTGGACCCCAATGTCATGGGGGTGGCAGCACCCCCACCCCCTCAACCTAGCTCACTGACCGTGTTCTGCCCCTTGTGAGCATGCTGCTGGCCAGAGCGGGGAGGCTAGCTGGCCAGGTGATGTGATCAGGGGAGGCTGCTGGGGTGAGGGGCGGGATGGGGACTTGCCTTGGGACTGGGAGTTCTGAGGCCTCCAGGAGAGTCTGGGACTTGGCGGGTCCGGGCACCTAGACCATGAATGTGGCACAGCGAACCAAGGAGAGGCCTGGAGGTGGTCTCCAAGGCCACAGGAAGGAGGGTGCGTGGGGCGTGGCCTCCCCTTCCCAGCCGTGACCTGTGCTCCCCACCTCCCTTCCTCCCCAGCCTCGGGCTCGTGCTCCCGCCCTACAGCACCTTCTACCTCCAAGCCAACCTCAGTGACCAGATCCTGCAGGTCAAGTGTAAGTGGCCCACCCCTGCCTGCGCCCTGCACCCCCGCCTCTGCCCCTGCACCCTGGCCGGCCCCAGGCAGCACAGCCAGCCGCTTGTGGCCGGGTGGCCCCTCCTGCCCACTCTGCCCAGCACCCCCCAGGCGCCCGCAGGCTGGGGGCACCGGCCATCGGAAAGTCTGTGGAACTCTGCATGCTCGCCTTTTCTCTGATTTGGTTCCAGACCATTCTCTCATGGTTTCCGTTGAGGTTTTTGTTTTTGCTTTCTCTTCCTCCGTGTCTTCCCTCCTGAGCCTGCCTCCCCCACAGGCCCCTGGGGCTGAGTTCTTGGAAGACACACCCTCCTCTCATCTCTCTCGCCCCAGCTCCCCAGTACAGCTCTCTCCCCCAGCGATAACCACTCCCCGGGTCTCCCCCCACCCTGCCCCCCAACTCATCCTCCCTTATCTTGCTCTCACCTCCTCTCCCACCTTCTTCCTCCATCGCCTTCCCGCCTCCTTTCCACTCTGCTTTGCTCTCGCTCTCTCCTCCCTTTCCTCCCTCCTCCATTTCCCTCCCTGAACCCCCACCTTCTCTATCTCCCTCCCTCTGCTCACTCCCTCCATTTCTGTCCCCCACACCGTTCCTTCCTCCCCGCTCCTCTGCCTGTGGCTCATCCCCGCATGTCTTGCTCACCCTGGGCCTCCCCCAGAGGCCTCCGGGAGCCTGTGGCCCCGCCTGCCCACCGCCCGAGGTCACTGGGAGGGAGGCTGGGGCTCCGGCCCCACCGGGAGCCCCCCGCCCCCCCACCCCGCACCTGCCTGGCCGACTGGGGCTCATCTCCTTTGAGTTTTCTTGCTCTCTCTTTCTCTCTCATGTCGTTTTTTTGCAAGAAGTTTCCTTTCGGTATGATGATGAGACACAATATTTTCATTCAAACAGCCATTGAATAAAATATTGTCTGTGCCCCTCCCCTTCCCCTCCCCCTTTTCGTTTGTTTTTGTGTTTGTGTTGTTTTTGTTTTCCTCGCTTTCTCTCTTGGTGGACTGTCCCAGTGCCAATCAGCAAACTGAAGGGCAAGTATATTCAGAACCAGTGCACCCTCCTCTCCCCACCCCACCCCTGTCCTCACGGTCCTGCTTGCCCCCCTCCCTGCCCAGGACCAGCCAAACCCTGCTCTCCAGGGCTCCCGCCAGCATCCCCTGGGCTCCTCTAGTTCTTGCCTTTCCTTTGATCCCTAAACCTCTATTAGAGCCAGCAGCCCTTTCCCCTGGGCCCTGCCTGCAGGGTGGTCTCCAGCGCGTTCTAAGAGCTCAGACCCTCTCCTTATCCTCCTGGTTCCCTCTGGGCAGGCCTCTGCTCCACTCCTCCATTTTCTCTGTCCCTCCAAGACAACTCAACAGTGGGGAGAGGTCTGCCACCTCCCACCCAGCAGGGCAGGCGGCCTGAGATGTAGGAGGTAGGTAGATCAGTCCTCCGGGGGCTTATGTGAGACTTCCTCAGGGAGAGGCTTTCTCCTCTGACCTCTCCTGTTTGTCTCCAGAAGCTGGCAGCCCTCCCAGGGGGAGACAAAAGGCTTCGGAAGCCCCACACCCTGACCCTGGGGCAGAGGCTCGGGCTAGGGCAACAGCCAGGTCACCAGGAAACAAAGGCAGCCTGGGCGCTGGCCGAGGTGCTGAAGCCCATGTGCCTGGTGGCTTTGCTGAGGCCTATGACCCAGCCCTGCCCTGGGGTGTTGGCTGTTCCTGGCGAGAGAGGTCAGGTATGGAGAAGGTGTTCCCCTGGGAAATACAAGCTGACTTGGAGTCCCAGGTCTGGCTGGGAACAGAAGGGACCCCCCAAGGGCCAGCAGAGGAACTTAGAGGGAATCAGTTTGAGGGTGAAGAAAAAGCTTCTAGCATCCAGAGGTACTTAAGCCAGAGAATTCAGGGAAAAGGTAGAGAATTCACAGGCCCCAGCAAAGAACATGAGTACTGAGATAGGTCAGCACACAAGGGTCTCTGCCTCTGGCTCATGGAGAGGCCCTCACACCTAGGCATGGGGCCTGGAGAGCCATGGGGAGATGTCCTGTCCCCAGTCACCAAGGGGAAATAAGGCCCCCCCAAGAAGCTCTAGTGGCCCTGTCCGGCCTAGTCCAGCAAAGGGGATCCCGCTGCCCCCACTGGTCCGGGTGGAGGTGGAGGATGTGCCCTGCTCCCACTCGCTTGAGTTGTCTTTTCTGCCCTCCCACACCCCTGCCAGGGACCCCAGCAATGCAGGGCCCTGATAACAATGACAACCATAGCATAGTCTCCCTTCCTGCTCCCCTACCTCTTTTTCTTTCTCCTCCTCCTCTCCCCACCCCCACCTTTCCCTGTCGGCTTGTGTCCAAACCCTGCCTCACAGTCCTATCAGAAAGCAACAGTCCAACCAGTGACTGCCCAGTGCCTTCAGACACCCCAAGTCCAGAATCTTGCAGTGCTCTGTGGGAGTATTTTGGATCAGGAAAGACCCCACTTCTACAAAAGTAAAGCCCTGGGGTAATGGAGAGATCAGAATCTGGGTGTAAGGATGTGGAGGTGCATTGCCCAGCATGTCAGAGCAGAGGGCTACCTCCCAGACACAGACCAGCGAAGTGGCCAGTCCCGCTGGGTAGGGACAAACCCCAGAGGAACCCTAGTAGCCACATGCCCAGATTCACTCACAGACCCACACAGGGACCCTTGCACACATATACATACGCTTACACACTCACGCAAACACACACAGTCACACACCTGCTCTCACATGCACATACACACTCAGCCATAAGTGCTCACTCTTATACATGTACAGGCCCAGTGGGTGGGTCCCTCAACAGCATCCCATGCATCCCCTGGAGTCCCCAGCTCCTCCCTTGCTGCACTGAGCCCAGACAGGTCCTTGGAAGGAGAGACCAGACCCAGCCCTTCTTCCCCACCCGCCCTCAGGCTCCCAGCCCAAGAAAGCAGGTATTCAGGTTCAAGAAGTGCTTCTGCACCCTCCCAGCTCCCAGTCGTCCTCCCACAAAGTGAGAACATTCCAGGATCTCCCTTCACCCAACCTCCTAACCCAGGGAAGACCGCTGGACCCCCCACAATGCACTGCAGCCCACCCCCAGCTGCCCACACCGTCTCTGGTTGGACTGTCTGTGCCCGTGAGAGACCCCCTCAGTTTGGCCATGTTGATGCCTGACACAGAACAAAAGCGAGACCTACCAAAATGCAAACAGCTACAGCAAAGAGAGAGAAAAATCCGCAGCCAAAAGCCAATTCCCCTTCCTCAAAGTCTCTTTGGAGGCGAAGGAAGCTCAGCATGCGGTTTTTTTCCATTATGGATGTGATCAGAGTGAGACCGGCGCCTCCCCCAGACCATGCATATATATAGCAGTGTGTGTATATATATATGTGTGTGTGTGTGTCCGTGTATATGTGCTATACAGCCGTATGGAAGCATATACAGCCACGCCAAGGGACTCACTGCCGACAGAGGACCAGGCCTGGGCAACATATTGGCTATAACTGCCCTCCTCCTGCGATGCTGTAGTCTCCACAGGCCCTCCACCCCTCCCCGCCCGCCCCTTCTCTCTGGCTCGAACTTGAACATGGAAGTGGCGGGTTTCCTCTTTGCTGGTGTCTCCCTCCCTCCAGCCGCCCTCTTCCCTTTCCCTCCAGCCCCGTCAGCTCTGAACCCCTGGCCTCCCACCTCCCCAGCCCCCGCCGGATAACCCCCCGTTTCTGTTGCAGATTTTGAGTTCCTGCTCCCCAGCAGCTTTGAGTCTGAAGGACATGTATTCATTGCTCCCAGGTAGCTTGCGTGTGGCCTTGCTGAGGTGTCCCCACCCCCGAACCCGACCTCCCTGGCCCCGCCTCCTGCACTGCTGCCTGGAGCTGTGTGTGTGTCTGTCCTGTGCAGTGTCCCCGCGCCACGCATAGCCCCGTATGTGCGGCCGTGTGCATACCCGGGCCATGTCGCCACACCAGGCAGCACTGGCCAGCTGCCCACAGCTTCGGCTCCCACCAGGCCTCGGGCGGGAGGGCTCTGGACTCTCCGCCGACCTTCCCTGCCGCCCCCAGGCCCCCAGGAAAGAGCCCTTCCCTCCCTGAGCCGGCTGTCCGCAGCACGCCCCTCCCCGGGCAGCTGCTGCTCTGGTTTGTGGTGCCCTCCCTGACAACCCCGCCCCGCACCTGTCCTTGTCCTGTGTCCGTGTTCGTGTGGGTGTGGGGACCGAGCCAGCCAGAGCCCCTGTCGGCTCACTGAGGACCAGGGGGGAGGGATGGGGCAGAGGGGACAGGGCTGTGAAGAGCTGCTCTGGCAAGTAAAGGATCAGGGCCCAGCACAGGCCTGGACCTGGAACCATCCCTGGCGTGCACCCTCGTGTGCACACCCTCTGCCTGTTGGCCCACATCTGAGCAGACCACTGGGCCCCCGGATGGTGAAGCCCTCCCCCGGGGCCTGGGCTTTGCATGAGGGCAGGTGGGTGCAACTGACAGAGACCCATGGGCACTCGCGGGCACCACACGGGGGCTCTGGACACTCCTAACCTCCATGTGTGTGCACGTGTGTGCATGCACCCACCACGGTCGCTGTGACTCTGTAGATGTGTGTTTGTATTCGTGAGTCCTTGTGTACATTTGTAAGAGTCCGAGTGTAAATGCGGGGTGGCTGTGTGCACTGGTGACAGTGGGAATGTGAAAAGGCCTGTGTGGCCCACAGGACCCTGCGGGAGCTCTGAGGGCAGGGACCACGTTTGTTTTTGTCCTCTGTATCTTTGGCACAGGAGAGCTCAATAAATATGTGTTGGGTGAGTGTAAATGTATACCGGGGGTGGGGACAGGGATTGCAGGTGACTTGTATCCCAAGTACAGCTTGTGTGGGTGTCACTCTGAGTGAATCAGATGTGTCCTCCACACACACAAGTGCAGGCTGTGTGCTGCACAAAGGCCCTGGGAGTAAGTGGGGGCTGCCACCCAGCCCCAGGTGCCCTCACAAAGCTGTGCGCCCTTGCACAGCCTCAGGAAGCAGAGTATTTAAAAAATTCCCACAGGACTTCCCTGGTGGTCCAGTGGTTAAGAATCCCCCTGCATGTCTGCAGTGCAGCAGACACAGGTTCAATTCCTGGTCCCGGAGGATTCCACATGTTGCGAAGCAATTAAGCCCATGCATCACGACTACTGGGCTTGTGCTCTAGAGCCCGGGAGCCTCAACTCCTGAGCTCCTGTGCCTAGAGCCCTTGCTCTGCATCAAGAGAAACCACTGCAATGAGAAGCCCATGCACCGCAACTCCATAAATGCCCACACAGCAACAAAGACCCAGCAGAGCCAAAAAAAATAAACAACTCCCACAAAGTTGCTGCCATGCAGGCCAGAAGGGAGGTTCCTGGTGGCAGGGGTGTGGATGAGGAATTAGGCAGGAAAGATAGCTCCATCTACCAGAGTAGAAGGACTACTCACTGAGACTTCCTGGGAAGCAGAACCCCAAGCAGATCTCCCCACTCCCCACAACCCCCACATTCTTTGGACCCCGAGTCTGAACCCAGTAGGGCCTTGAGAAGGTGAGAGGCTTGGCCTGTCCACCTCTGGGGGAAGAGCAGTCTGGGTGGAGAAAATAGCCAATCCAAGGACCCACGTGTTCCCACCAACTTCCTGAACCCCTCTGTAGTACTATGAAAACAAACTAAGGCTCAGGGAGCCTGAGCAAGTTGCCCAGAGGTACAGAGTCAGACAGGCAGCAGGACGAGGTCTTAGACTGACTAAGCCAGTGCTGGAACTCCACCACTGTGGTCCTCGTGGGGCATTTCCTGGGGCCTCCCAGGTGTACCGTGTGGCTCCAGCTACACTGGAGAGGTGGGAGGCTCTGCAGGGCCACACCCAGAAAGGAGAACCTGCTTGGGTAGAGGGCGCAGACCCTCATTCTCCACTTCTTCCACCCAAGAGAGTCAACTCCTCCCCATTCAGGCCTGGTAACCTGCAGGCGTATATAGTTGCTGCGGCCCGAGAGAATACACATGCCGCTCCCCGAGGCCTGGGTTTCTCGACAAAAGGCCAAGCAGGCCTATTGGGAAGCCTCAACCCTGTTGCCCTCTGCAGCCCCCCCAAGCCCACTCTTCTTGCCCCTCCCCACCCCCAGAGAGTATTGCAAGGACCTGAATGCCTCAGACAACAACACCGAGTTCCTGAAAAACTTCATTGAGCTCATGGAGAAAGTGACTCCAGACTCCAAACAGTGTGAGTGCCTGGTGGGATGGCCGGGGCTGGGCAGCACCCAGGCAGCAAAATGGGGCAGCCCAGAGGAAGTGGGCAGGTGTGGCAACACGCAGGCCCAAGCCGAGGGCAGGTCCTGGGAAGGCTTGGAGCTTTGGGGGTAGCAGGGAGAGTGGGCAGGGATCCACAAGAAGATACTCCCTCCCTATTGGCTGATTCATGTTGCTATTTGGCAGAAAACAACAAAATTCTGTACAGCAATTATCCTTCAATTAAAAAAAAAAAAAGATACTTCCTCCACCCAACCCTCCTGTTCCAGGCAACAACTTCCTCCTGCACAACCTGATTCTGGACACAGGCATCACACAGCAGCTGGTGGAGCGCGTGTGGCGGGACCAGGATCTCAACACGTAGGCACCACCCAGCCTGTGGGGGCAGGAGGCTGGGATGGGCCCAGGAGCCCTGCCCTGCAGAAAGCAGGGCAGTAACCTCAACTCCCTGCTGCCCCCAGGTACAGCCTTCTGGCCGTGTTCGCTGCCACCGATGGTGGCATCACTCGAGTGTTCCCCAACAAGTAAGTGACCCGCCCCGCTACCTGACATCCTGCCCCTGCCTGGGACCCTGCCTCTCTGGCTCCTTGCCTCTGCTGAGACCACTGCCTCCATGAATCTCCCTGCTTCCACCAATCTCTGTCTGTCTTGTGTGACCAGGGCAGCTGAAGACTGGACAGAGAACCCTGAGCCCTTCAATGCCAGCTTCTACCGCCGCAGCCTGGACAACCATGGCTATGTCTTCAAGCCCCCCCAGCAGGATGGTGAGTGCACGGCAGCAGGCGGGAAGCTAAGGCTTCCCTGTCTGCTGAGCCACAGCCAGGCTCTGCTCTGTGAGGTCCCTCTCAAATACGAGGCTGGCCGGCTGAGACTGGGGCAGGTAAAAAGGGAAGGCTAGGTTGTGCCAACCTGGTGGAGGGCATGGCTTCCCACTCCAGTGTTCTTAGAGAATCCCCATGGACAGAGGAGCCTGGAGGGCTGCTGTCCATGGGATCGAAAAGAGTCGAACACAACTGAGTGACTAAACACAGCACAGCACAGGCTGTGCCAAACACTCTGCTGGGTGCTGGGTGCTTAGGCTGAGATCATCTCAGGCTCAGGCTCCTAGGCTCATGGAGCCCAGCATAGAGTGGTCAGCGTGGCTGCCAGCCCCTACTCCTGACCACACCACCCCACCCACCCCAGCCCTGTTAAGGCCTCTGGAGCTGGAGAATGACACGGTGGGCATCCTTGTCAGCACTGCTGTGGAGCTCAGCCTGGGTGGACGTACACTGAGGCCAGCAGGTGAATACCCAGGGCGGAGGTGGGGAAAGAGACACTGGGCAGTGTGCTGCCCAGGCAGGTGGGCATTGATGGCCCCCTTGCTCTCCCCCATAGTGGTAGGCGTTAAGCTGGACCTAGAGGCCTGGGCTGAGAAGTTCAAGGTGCTAGCCAGCAACCGTACCCACCAGGACCAGCCTCAGAAGGTATTTGCTCAAGGATGAGGGCAGTAAGACCAGAAGTACCCATTCTGGAGTCCCCAGGAACCCCTACCAGTCCTCCCAGTCAGAGTGGCTCTGGTGCTTATGGGGAGGCAGGGGACCCCGACATATAAAAGGTGATGGGAGGGGAAAAACTGGTGGGCACTTATGGTCCTTGCTCTCTGCCCAGCAGTGCGGCCCAAACAGCCACTGTGAGATGGACTGCGAGGTTAACAATGAGGTGCGTGTGCCCTGAACCCTTGTTTACCCCACTCCTGGACACCTTAGTTCCAGCTGCAACTCCTAGCCCATCCCTTGGCCAACGGGTTTCAACATCCCACCCTGACTTCACAGCTTTGCCAGAACTGGGGGGAATGGTGCCCCCTCCACTGAACCACTGCACTACCAGGGTCTGGGGAGGAAGGGCTGGGCCAGAGCCCCTCCCCATCTTCCTCCCCCTTCCTCCCCTCTCAGGACCTGCTCTGTGTCCTCATTGATGATGGGGGATTCCTGGTGCTGTCAAACCAGAACCATCAGTGGGACCAGGTGAGGGTCAGGAAGAGGGTGGAAGAAGGTATGGGTTTGAGACTTCTGGGGGTATGGCACTGCCAGGCCTGTGACTCCCACTCCCTCCGGCATCCCCAGGTGGGCAGGTTTTTCAGTGAAGTGGATGCCAACCTGATGCTGGCACTCTACAATAACTCCTTCTACACCCGCAAGGAGTCCTACGACTATCAGGCAGCCTGTGCCCCCTTACCCCCGGGCAACCTGGGTGCTGCACCCCGGGGCATCTTTGTGGTGAGCCTCAGCAATGCCTGGCCTGGAGATGGGGGGACTGGGAGACCTGCCCACAGAGGACCCCCCACCTCTAACGAGCAAGCTGGGGGTGACCTGGGTTCCCGGACAGCAATGGGAGCCCACACCACTCTTCCCCACTGCAGCCCACTATTGCAGACTTCCTTAACCTAGCCTGGTGGACTTCTGCTGCAGCCTGGTGAGTCCCCGGGGGAAATGGGAGAGGGAAGGTGCTCCCTGGCCAGGAAGGCTGGAGAGCAACGGGGCAGGGGCAGGCCTCTGCTGACCACTCCCACTCCGTGACCCATGCCCTGCAGGTCTTTGTTCCAGCAACTTCTCTATGGTCTCATCTACCACAGCTGGTTCCAGGCAGGTAGGTTGGGCTTTGGAGGTCCCTCCTCAAAGCCCATCCCCTGTCTGAGACCGACTCCAAAGGGAGGGTAGGGCTTATGGCTGAGCCAGGCTCTGGGTGTAGGGGTGGGGCTGAGGCGCTCTGGGCCCTCGCAGACCCCGCGGAGGCCGAGGGGAACCCCGAGGTGCGCGAGAGCAGCTGCGTCATGAAACAGACCCAGTACTACTTCGGCTCGGTGAACGCCTCCTATAACGCCATCATCGACTGCGGAAACTGCTCCAGGTGCGCGCGAGGCGTGGCCAGAGGGGCGGGGCGGGGCGAGGGGCGGGGCGAACCTCAGCGCCCCCGCCCTTCTGTGCTGCCTCCAGGCTCTTCCACGCGCAGAGACTGATCAACACCAACCTTCTCTTCGTGGTGGCCGAGAAGCCGCTGTGCAGCCAGTGTGAGGCCGGCCGGCTACTGCATCCCCCACCGTTCCCTGCTCACCTGCCCCCCACTCCCCGCCTTAGAGCCTTGCCCCCTCCCTCCATGAAGGAACTGCGCCCTCCTGGCCCCCAGAATCTGCGCCTTGGGGTGGGGGTGGGGGGCGCCGAAGGAGGACGCTGCAGGTCTCTGGCCCCCAAGCCACGTCTCGCTGCTGGACTGTCAAAGTGTCCCCAGACCCCTCATTCCCACTGGACTCACCCACTCCTGAGGGCTGGGCCAGGGAGGCCACAGTACTGGTGCCAAACCAGGCCTCCACTGCCTGCGCTGCCCTGAGGCTCCCTTTGTGTGGGAGACCTAGGCCTTGCCCCACCTGGACTCCTCTAACCTGGCCCTTCCGCCCCACCCAGGACTAAATCTGGATTCCCGGGGAATAACAGAGGAAATGGTGATGGGCAGTTTGAGGCCTGTGCGTCCCAGCTTAAGTCCCGGCAGGAGAGCCCCAGTGATTCCTGCCTCTCTCAGGCCTACAGCCACCCCTCCCCCTCTCCTTCCCCAAGCCCTGCAGGTAGCAGGACAGCGACAGTGACACTGGCTAAGACACAACCCCATACACAGCTGGAGCCCTGAGGGCAGAGACTGGACTCACGTTAGACATACCCAGGAGGACACACACACACACACACAGACACGCACCGTGGAGTGGGGTGAGGGTAGGGGCTCACAAAGCCTTACGCGGGGTGAGGGGTTGGTGGGAGGGTTGGCACATGCAGGCTCCATCTCCTGCTCGCCGTCAGCCTCTAATCTAACCTGTAGCCCAGCTGGTCCTCTGTCTCTAAAGCTGAATGTCAAACAGTGCCAAATGCGGAGGCAAAGGGGGAAGATCCCACTGTCCCAACTTTGCCACCAGTGTCCCCTAAATGCCCGTGACCCTGCCAGGTGCTCATTGTAACCATTTCTCACTAGTGTCAGGCCCCCAGGGGGACCACATGTCACTGCCTGCACCCCTCAGCAGAGGAACTCTCACCAGACATCGCCCTTTGCCTTAGTGGCGGTGACTTGATCACTCCTAGCTGGATCATCCAACCCGCAATCTGGCCCTTACACACTCAGGCCTATCTCCCTCTCACACACACACTCCCTGGCCAAACTGCTCCTCCCTGAACACACACTTGCACATATGCACACACATATACACACTCTGTGCACACACAGAGGCTGGGCCTGGGAACATCTCTTCACACCGTTCATTCTGATCATTTCCCCCAAAGGCATCCCAGCCTAGGGGCCGTTGGGGGACTGAGGGCAGGGGGATGTGGCTGTGGGGCTCAGATGGACTGGGAGGAGGGGGGAGGGTGATGCATTAATTAATGGCTCCGTTAATTAATGTCATGTTGCTTGTCGCTTTCTCAGTGTGTGTATGTATGGTCCATGCCTGCTGCTGGTGCCAGGGTGGGCACCCATGCTGTACACCCAGCCTAGACGCCAGCCATGTCTTGTGGGGGCGTGTGTGTAACTGTAGTGTAGTCAGGTGCTCAATGGAGAATATAAAAATAAAAAAGAATCAAACATATACAGAAAAATTAATATATATTTTAAGTTTAAAAAACAGAAAAGCAGACAAAACAATCCCCATCAGGTAGTTGTCCAACCCCCAGCTGGGTCTGATCCTTCTCATCACCCACCTGACCTGGCTGTCCCCTCACCTCGGGCTCGGGGGATCTGTGGGGGACTGGGGGGCCATTTCCTTTTATCTGCCCTTTTTTTTGGTTGTTCTATTTTGTACAGACAAGTCGGAAAAACAACAGCGACAAAAAAGTCAAGAAACTTTGTAAAATACTGTGTGTGTGATTCCTTGTAAAATATTTTCAAATGGTTTATTACAGAAGATCAGTTATTAAATAATGTTCATATTTTCACTTCAAATGGTTCCCATACACTGTGTCTGCCTGCAGTGAGGATTGGGTGGCTTGAAGATAGGTGGCCCTGACCAGTTACCACTCAGCTGAGAGTAAAGCCATACCAATCCAGGTCTCTGGTGGGTGGAAGGCATGATGCTTCCCAGGTCTCCTAAGTGCCAGATCCTTCACATCCCTTTTTTTTTTTCCTATAATCGTCTCAAAAGCCTTCAGGGAAAACTGTCTTTAAAAAAAAAGTTTCCCAGAGGCTCAAGGCCAAAACCATGGAAGAAAGAAGATGGAGATGAGATGCAAGCTTCTGGCCAGTAGAACCAGACCAGGGCCTAGTGAGCAGGTCCTCCAGGTGGACTGAAGAGTCCAAGTCCATGACCTGGTGCTGGAGGGCCACTTCTGCCGTCTGGAGGAGGCCAAGTTCTGCCCGCCCCCCACAAGCATGATGGCTGCTCCTTCCCAGCCCAGGGGAGGCCTGGGCCTCTCAGTGGCCACTGCTGCTCACACTGGAACACGAGTCTGAATCCTTTTGAGCAAACCCTCTCAGGCCTCCCTCTGGCAAGCCCTGCACCCTTGTTCATTCTAATCCTAACTCTTAATAGTGAACTGTATTCTGTGACCTTTGTGTTCAAGGGCAAAGACAACCACCAGGGCAGAGGTTTCCCACTGACACTGTACACATTCCATACTCTGCACTCACCCAGCTGAGTCCTCACCACAACCTTAAGAGTTAGATACCAGTTTATCTCCATACTTCTGGTGAGCAAATTGAGACTTAGGAGAAATCCTTTCTCCCAGATTCAAGAAACCACCAAAGGTTTCCGAAATGAGCTGACCTGTGGCTGAGGAACCTCGGATGCTAAATAAATGAAAGAGGGCATTTGAGGCGTTAGTGAAGAAACCTTTCCTCACCCTCCACAAGGGTTTGCCACATAGCAAAGACTAGCAGTCCCTGAGACAGCTCCCACGCTCTGCAACAGCCCCAGAGGTCCTCGGTTAGAGACACCATGTAAAATATAAAACATCCAATCTGACTGGGATTTCAGATAACTAATATTTTTTAGTATGTTCCCAACATTGCATGGGACATAACTATAAAAATTGGAGTCACATGTATCCTGAAAAAAATTGTTTATCTGAAATTCAAATCTCATTGGCCTGTATTTTGATTTGCTAAATCTGGCATCCCTACCCCGGCGTGGCATCCAGTAGGAACCCAGACCCCAAGGTTAAGGCATAGCAACACCTGTGATCTGGAAGGCTATGCACATGTCAGCAGTTGTACTGCTGGCGGAAAGGAAGGGATTCTGCACTTTAAAAATGTACTTTGTTAACATAATTATTTTAATTATATGCACATTTAAAAAATTCAGTTTTGCACAGGTGGCACCACCTGAAGCCACTACTGCAGTGAGGCAGAGGTCCAAGGCCAGCCTGAACCAAGTTTGTGGAGAGACCTCTCCATCAGGATCATCCATTGACTGTGGTGAGGAAGAGTCATTGAGAGAGGTCCAGCCTCACCCCTTTTGGGGCTGGAGACCGGAGTTCAAGTATGGGCTCCACCTCACTTGTACACAAGGGCAGCCTGGGCAACACACTCACTGAGCTCCCAGGGTGGACCGCATTTTACACCCCAGTCCCCTTGGATCGTCACGGAGGTCCCGTCATCATCTCCATTCAACGGTCCATGAAACTGAGTTTCAATAAGGTTCGGGAATTTGGCCAATGCCACACATCCGTCAAATGACAGAGCAAGAATTCCAACCTGAGGCAGGCATACACCAGACCGTGGAAGTGCCGGGAGTTCGCGCCCGCTGGACCATCCAACATTCTTACTCGCACACCTGCCCACAAGGACACACCCACTCAGGTGTACGGGCAGACATGGAGCCACTCCTCCCGGGAAATTCAGAAAGTGCGTGGCGTGCAGCTGTGCAGCCGCTGGTTCTCGCCGCTCTCCTGAGGTCGTTCGCCCTCCCCCCACGTCTGGAGAACCGGCGGAAACGGTCCTGAGCACTACAACTCCCAAGCACACCCGCCTCTCCCGGCGCACAGCCTCCTGGGACTTGTTCTACCCAGAGCCCAGATCGCCGCAGGTCCCGGTCTGGCCGAGGACTTCATGTCCCAGCATGCCGCGGAGCCGCAAGGCCGACGCTCAGAGGGCTTCCTGCCGCCGCACGGGGCGCGCAGGCGCAGCGCCCTGTTTGTCGGCGCCTGAGAAGGGAGGAGGTACTGTCGAAACCAAGACAGAGGCCGAGGCGGAGCTGACCAGACTTGACTCCGGCCCAGAACTAGTCTCCGTGCCGCGCGGACCGTAAAAGGCCCCAGAGTGGATGGAGGAGATCGAGGCCTGAGATCACCGCCAGCCCGGTCGACGCTGTGGCCACACAGGGCGGGGGGGCGGGCAGGCGATCCCTAAGCTGCTCAGGGCCTTTCCTCAGATCCCCGTTGAGGGGCCTAGGCCCCGGCCCCGCGACCGACCAGGCCCGGCTCTGCCCTTTGGGACCGGAGTCGACCCGACCGGAAGTAGAAGCCTTCACCGGGGCCATAGGCCAGTGACTAGGTCGGGCCCGGGCCTCCCGTCGGGGCCGGACTGGAAAGAGGCCCCGGGGAGGCCCCTAGCCCACTAAACCCTTCCCTCAGGCCAACGCCCTCCAGGAAGATGCAGCGCGCCCTACCGGGCGCCCGCCAACACTTGGGGGCCATCCTGTCCAGCGCCAGCGTGGTGGTGAAGGCTCTGTGCGCGGCCGTACTATTTCTGTATCTGCTGTCCTTCGCCGTGGACACGGGCTGCCTGGCGGTCACCCCAGGCTACCTCTTTCCGCCCAACTTCTGGATCTGGACCCTGGCTACCCATGGGTTGATGGAACAGCATGTGTGGGATGTGGCCATCAGCCTGGCCACGGTAGTGGTAGCTGGACGTTTGCTGGAGCCCCTCTGGGGGGCCTTGGAGCTGCTCATCTTCTTTTCAGTGGTGAACGTGTCTGTGGGGCTGCTGGGGGCCTTTGCCTACCTCCTCACCTACATGGCTTCCTTCAACTTGGTTTACCTTTTCACTGTCCGCATCCACGGCACCCTGGGCTTCCTAGGTGGTGTCCTGGTGGCGCTCAAGCAAACCATGGGGGACTGTGTGGTCCTGCGAGTGCCCCAGGTGCGTGTCAGTGTGGTGCCCATGCTGCTCTTGGGGCTGCTGCTGCTGCTGCGGCTGGCCACACTGCTCCAGAGCCCGGCACTGGCCTCCTATGGCTTTGGGCTGATCTCCAGTTGGGTGTATCTTCGCTTCTACCAGCGCCATAGCCGAGGCCGAGGGGACATGGCCGACCACTTTGCTTTCGCCACCTTCTTCCCTGAGATCCTGCAGCCTGTGGTGGGCCTGCTGGCGAACCTGGTGCATGGCCTCCTGGTGAAAGTAAAGATATGCCAGAAGACAGTGAAGCGCTATGATGTGGGCGCCCCATCCTCCATTACCATCAGCCTCCCAGGCACAGACCCTCAAGACGCAGAGCGGAGAAGGTACTGTGGAATCTTCCAAAACCTTGTTGAGCTAGGAGAATCTTACAGATCAGGTCACATTCCATCTTTTGAGGTGCTTGCTGTATGTAGGCTGGCAGCTGTATGTAAGATTACAGTAAGATGTTGGGGCAGATTCAGAAAGAGAAAATCCAGTTTGTGGCCTTGATCTCAACACTTCGGTATCTGGGCTGCATAAGGTGCTTTCCAAAATTAGGGAGTAAAAGTTGCCTTTCTTACCACTCAGGGTGCTTAAGTTTCAAGAAACGCCCTGCTTCCTTTTGAACTGTCTGAGGGCTAGTGGAGAGCCAGGTACACATAACCCTGGCCTTGTCTGAGAATCTCAGCATTCTAGATGCTGGTCCCGTGAGAGCCAGAAACAACCTGCTGGTCTTTTTTCCCCTGTGAGAGAGGGACAGGGAAGGAGACCTGGGCTCCTTATGAGGTGGTTGGGGCCACCCCAGTTTCCAAGTGCTGGACTTCCACCCTCTTCCTGGGCCTTAATTCAGATGTTGTGCTTCTCTGCAGCTTATTTATTATTATTATTCTGGGGTATAACTAGACTTAGACAACCACTGGCCCATATACACTGACTCTAGCAGGCATGTGTTACCAAACCCAGGGGACAGCCACGTGACCCACCGAGGGAGCCTGCTGACCACACCAGGGAATGGAGACAGCCTTTTCATTATCTGTAAACCAAGCCATCTGCACCATCAGGAGTCTCAGCTGAATTATTCACTTAATGAACCTTGGCCAGGGCAAGCCAGATCTCATTTTAATCCGTCTCTTTCTCTCTCTCCCAGGTGTATGGACTCACCAGAGTGGTCACAGCTCTGTTTCCAACATTATTCTTGAGTGGTTTTTGTTGTTTTTGTTGTTTGGGTTTTTGCTTTTTTAATGCAATTACTTGAATTGTGAAATCTAGAGCAGGTTCTGTTCCAACTTTGTGCATTTGTCAAAGGCTTCTGCTTTTGCGCACCCGTGAGATGAGTTCTTAGCAGGCAACTTTACAAATTCAGTTAGACTTGTTCCAGTGCTTACTCGCCACTGGGGCTTTGGAGTGTGGGACACACCCCTCTCCTGAAGGAGTTTCCAGCTGGAGAAGGCCAGATTACTGTGGTCCAAGGTGGCAAGAGTTAGTACACATGACATGCTTAATTGTGGGCCTTACAGTTTGTGTCTCTGTGGCTAATCAATCGTAGAGACTGAGTTCTTTATTAAACTTTAACCTTAACTGGTGGAGGAGATGCAGCCAGAAGGGCTGGGCCTAGTGGAAACTGAACTGTGCTCAGAGATGTTCAGGTGATGTTCAGATGTTCAGGGCCACAGTGGTGGCCCCTCCTCTAGTGAGAAATCTTGGATTATTAGGGTTGGCTGGACATTCGAAAAACCTTCACAGCCCCAAGAAACTGGACAGTTGGAGGCATGTTGGGGTGGGGGTGTCAGGAAGTGGGTTCCTGGCATAGCCTTGTGGTTGTTACCTTGCTTGGGGATACGGATTACTCTACCAAGCAGTTTGATCTCTTGCTTCATGCCACACTCCCTGCCCCAAAGAGCTAGCAATAATGGTAGGCAGGGTTTCCCACCTTTGACACTTGTGACGGAGTGATGAGCATGCCTTGGCAGGTTTTAAACAGAATTGACAAGGCAGTCTCCAGAATGGGAGTCTGGGTAGCAGAGGGAAGGACTGTCCTGTCTGTGCCAACTTGCCATGGTTCCAGGCTGAAGGACAGGGTGGAAGTGTGCTGGGGCTTTACGTGCCTGTCTTCTTGCACCTCCTGTCATGTTCCCTGGCATGGTGGAGATTTTGGTTTTCTTCTGGAACGTGGAAGGCTATACAGGTCTTCCATGCTGGTAGCAGAGTTGGAGGCATCAGGGGTCCACAGTGACCACTATGAGGAGTATTACCTGGCAGCATGAGCAGTCCACCTCCTGGTGGGCAGGGTCCCAGGTCCTCGTATATACCTTCTTCTAGCGAACTTCCCCACTTTCCTTCAGGGTGGGGTCTCCAGGGGTCTGCCCAGTGGAACCAGGCCTGGCCTGTGCCCTACCCACGTGGGCTGTTTTTTCCTTCCTCTCTTCCCGCTAGGACACTGTGTTCCTGCTCTAACCCAGGTCTTGGTGGTGTTGGGGGTTCTTCTGGGAAGGCCAATGTTAAGAGTCAGGAGGAGTTAGCTAACCCAAGTTGACCCTGCTTTCCCAGGCTGAGAGCCAAGGCAAGGGCTTAAGTTCCAAACCTCCCCACAGACCCTTGCCAGGGGGTTCACAACACTCCTGACAAGGAGATAGGGAGAAGTTATGCCTTGAATGCGATCCTGGTGCCCAGCAGAAGTTATGCGTCCAGGGACTTGCCCTTCCACCATCTGCCCTGGGTCCCAGTTCTGCCTAACCTTAGGCACCATTCTCAGAAGCATGGCTGGGGCTGGCCTGGGGGCAGCCTGGTAGGTACCCAGCGTTCTCAGCCTGGAGCTGTCCAAGCTATGGAGGGAGGGCTCTACAGCCTTTGGGTCCTCATCAGAGACAGCCCTAATCGGAGCCCTGGGGAGCCCTGGGCCCTGCAATGGGGAAGGAGAACACATAGGATTTTGAGAGGCATGTGAGCAGTAAGGCAAGTCAGTTTCCTGGGGGAAAGAATACAGGGCATGAGCCAAGTTCAGACCCATAGTGACCTGTCATCTTTCCCCGGCCCCAGGCAACTGGCTCTGAAGGCCCTCAACGAGCGGTTGAAGCGAGTGGAGGACCAATCCGTCTGGCCCAGCATGGACGACGATGAAGAGGAGGCTGGGGCCAAGATGGATAGCCCCATGCCGTCAGACAAGGCCCCCACACTCCCAGGGAAGGGGGCTGTCCCAGAATCCAGCCTGATCACCTTTGAGGCAGCTCCCCCGACGCTGTAACTCTAGACCACCTTGAGTGTAGCACCTCCTCTCCCAAGCCCCCTTTGACACCCTCTCAGCTACTCCAGGGCACTGACTGCTCTGAGGAGGGGAGAAGGCCTGCTGCGGGTTGCCACAGCCTTCTGCTATTTCTCGCCAACACTACCCAGGACTCTTGCTACCTGGTTCCAGCTCCAGACAACCACTCTGCCAGGCATGGGACCTCTGAAGCATAGCCAGCCCAGGCCATCTGAGGTAAGACTGCACCTCAGCAGGCAGCCTCAAGCAAGTGGCTGCACGGACACTGGTGCCGTGGCTCCTGGGCCAACCCTCACACCTGACACTGGTTGCTGAGAGCCCTGAGCCAAGGCAAGGATTTGCCAAAAACATTCTGGGGGTCCAGCCCGTGCAGGAGCCCAGTGCAGGGCTGCTGCACATCCCTGCCTGCCCCCAGAAAGACTACGCTCATGTTAAGATTTCTGATTCCCTCTGCTGTGGCCATGGCTGCTTCCAGGCCAGGGCAGTCACAGCTCCCAGGTATTTTCTACAGGACCACTTGAGTGGGCAGCCAAGCCCTGCCTCGCAGTATCAATAAAGCAGTTCTTTGAGGTATGGCTCCTGGGCTCCATTAGACCACCTCGTGCAGCCCCCTCAGCATGCTCAGCTGTGGATTAGACAGGGACCTCAGGTTCCAGGGCTCGGTCATGAAGGCTGTTCCCAATGGATAAAAAGCCCACTGCCCTCATTTTTCCCCACCCCCCCCCCAACCCCGTCACACTCTCCCTTGCCTCACCACACATGTCCACTCTCAAGCAGCCTTCCCAGAGCTGTCACCTCAACCCTTACTCTCTCTCCCTGCGCTACCTGGTCAGGGAGGCCCTGCCTGAAGATCTGATGACTAAGGGCCTCTCCATCATAAGGAGTTGTTCTTACCCATGGTTCACTTTGAAGACAAGAGTGCTCAGTGTTTGACACCTATGGAGGCAGCCCATCCCCAGCTCCCATCCTGTCATTGCCCAGATTTGACCATCACAGTCGAAACTCCCAACACAGTGGGCACCTGGGGAAACTGAAAGGACACACAGTCCCACCAGTCACAGCTACAGCCCGAGGACCTGCTAGGGCCCCAGGTGGCATGGGACACTCAGCAGCCAGATCCCAGGGGCTGATGTCGCAGCAGAGCTTCAGCTCCTCAGTGAGCAGCCATAGACAGGTCCCCATCCTGCTCAGCTGCCCGTTTGTTCCTGCTGATGGCATTAGCAAGAACTATCCCCAACTCTGGGCTATTCCTCCCATCTAGTCTTTGCAGTCTTTTTTTTCTTTTTGACTGCACCTTGCAGCATGTGGGATCTTAGTTCCCCCACCAGGGATCAAATCTGTACCCCCTGCTTTGGAAGCTCAGAGTCTTAACAACTGGACTATCGGGGAAGTCCCTTCAGTCTTTTTTTTCCACTTTATTTTACTTTCTTCTCTTCTGTAATTTCTGGACATACCAGCAAAAGTTGAGTTGCTGGGGGTGGGGGGCAGACTTGCAACCCCAACTTCATCCAGGCACATGATCCATAAACTCCTCTGGGACGGTAGAGGAAGAAGGAAAGGGGAGGTTCTGCAGCATGAGGAGCAAGTAACAATGTCACACACAGGACTGCGGCTGCCCCAGTGCCTGAGGTGTCCCGTGAGCGAGGCGAGAGTCCAGGTGGCCTCAAACCCGGCTCCCACGCTGAGGGGCAAATGCAGGCTTTCCCAAGGCTGGGAAGAGTTCACGGCTGGATCCTCTTGCGGTACAGGTAGGCGTTGCTCACCTGGTTCATAATGACCAAGCTGGTAACGACAGGGCAAAGCACAGCCAGGTACCAGACCCCACCAGTGACTGTGGCAGTGAACCAGAGTGAGCACATGCCCAACAAGAGGCTGGCACCCCCCAGAAGGTAGCCCACCAACCCCGAAGTGGCATGGTACAGCTTAAGCTTGGCCAGGGGCCATCGAGGCAGCAATTTGGGGTAGAGCAGCCCCACCCCACCCGAGCACTGCAGCCCTGCCCACAGCACAGCCAGCAGCCCTGCCCGCCCATGCCACGTGGCCAGGTGGGCCTTGCCAAGCTGTTCCTTGTGGAGGATGACAAGGCCCAGGCCCAGCAATGCACACAGCAAGGCCAGCAGCTGCAGAACCCAGTGGCAACGCGCTCGGCCCTTCCGTGAAAGGGAGCGCAGCAACGAGCTCTCAGGAGAGAACACCAGCAGTGCCTCGGTCATCAGGAAAGAGAACTGCGGAGACAGAGAGGACACTAAATGAGGGTGCTGCCAGGCAGCAGGGAACATTTTAGATAGAACCTAAGCTGCCAGCTAGTGTGGGCAGATTGCCCTTGATCCTCTCCCCAACTGACAAGAGTATCTGGTGGGGCAAGAGTGGAAAACCATCTGGGACAGAACATGTGTTATGAGTGACCAGCAAGAGGTACCTCTCCACACTTCTTCCTGAGTGCTACTCTGAAATGTCATCTCTGCTATGTTACCCAGCAAACACAAGGCTTGAGATGTGGCAGTTATAAATGATTCACAAGCTTTGTTTCCCTGACAGGCCTGGATACAATTTCTTGGCAAGAGTTGTCCACATGGGTACACTGTTTCAGGGAATAGTAGGTGCACCACTGTAAATTAAGGTGACAGGAGGCACAGGTACACCCAAATGCATATTCTAAGCCTCCTGCCTGGAGGTGGCTAAAGCATCGTTCTGTACTTAGACAAACCCATTTGCCCTGCATCTTGATTACCCTAGTTCAAGTCTTCAGATATAAACTACAGCAGGAGTTGGAGCCTACAGTTTCTCCAACCTCACATCCCACCCCTCCAAATCGATATTAAGTGTCCATTTACGTTTAGAGACCACTAGGACCACCCCCAGAGCAATACTCCCTCCCACTCCTAAGAGCTGGCCAGGTTCACTACTTACAGCCAAAGACATAAGCACAGGGTGCCAGGAGAAGAGACCTAGAATGAGAAGAGGATGCCTTGTGAGGCTCAAGCAAGAACCCAGCCACACCAATCCCCACAGGCTGAGGAAAATGAGTAGCCCACCACCCAAGGAGGTGGTGCCAAAATGCAAGCCCCATCCTGCTGCAAGGAGCTGACCCCGTATCTATTCTCTCTTCCCGGACTCTCCCTGGATCAGAGGCCACCCTTCGCCATTCCTCTGGCAGCCCTCCCTCTTTCCCCCTGCCCTTTGCAAGAGGCAGCCAAGTGTGGCACCCAGACAAGAGGAGCCAGGTACTCTGTGGGGCCTGGCCAAGCTGGCAGAGCCCTCACTCTCATCTACTCCACCCTGTTTATCCCTCCAGCATGGCATGTCCCTCAGCCAGCCAGGCCTTTCCCAAGAGTCAGACCCAAGGCTTCCTATTGCCCCTGCTCCCCAGGAAAAGTGACAGTTCCCAAAAGTCAGTAACTATGCATTCTACTTACTGGAGCCAGGCCTGGCAAGTACAGCCACAAAGATGGTGAAGCCCAGGGCCACAAGGTGGGCAGCAGCTCCGGAGGCAGTGCGCAGAGCTCGGTATATGTGTGACTCGGTCTCCACAGAAAGGGCCATGATCACTCAGGCCGGCTGTAGCCTGAAAGCATAGCAGAGTGAGCAAGGGCCTCTGGTGCCTGCTGTCCACTCTTCTCACTGGAGCAAGGGTGGCAGGACAGGAATGCCACTCTCTTCCAAAGAGTTAAGGTAGGAAGGGGCAGCATTAAGGCAGGGCCCAGGAATAGTCGCGGGTTGGTGGCCAGTCAGCGTGTATCCGCATCTGAATTGGCACTGATCACTGGTCCGTCCACCTTCCAGGTAAGAGACGCAAGGCCGTGTAATAGACTACAAGTCCCAAAGTGCACCGCGCCGTCGCCGGGCGGGAGCGCCTGCTGGAGTACCGTGAAGCACCACGGGAACTGTAGTTCCCGGTTGTGTCGAAATTACAGCCTGAATCGCTTTGCGCACACCCTTCCCACGTGCAGCTGGCTTGCTGCGTCTACACGCCAGGGATTCGCCTGCCTCACCCGCAGCGCCGACCCGAGGAGATGGTTCAGTCCCGAACAAGTGGGATTCTCCGGGCTCTAGCCGCGCGCCTTGCCGCTCCGCCGCTTAACTTCCGGGTGCGACGCCTACCCCACCCGGGACTTCCTGGGCCTGTTAGCAGCCACACGGCTGAGTTGCGCTGCGCAGGCGCTGTTGAGCAGATGGCTTCACGGGTGTATCAGTGCGCAGGCGTGCCTGACCTGGCGGCCCAAGCCTCCGGTCTGTTTCTGACAGGTGCTCCCAGGAATAGAGGCGCCAGCTACGGACTCCGGCCCCACTAGCGCCATGGGCAGCAGCTGCCGCATCGAATGCATATTCTTCAGCGAATTTCACCCTACGCTGGGACCCAAGATCACCTATCAGGTGCCATCCGGGCTCGCGGGACAATGGGGGTTAGAGGGTCGCTCCGGGGAGTTCAGTCAGTTACCTGGAAGCGATGGAACCCCGTGCCCTGTGCTGCACGCAGGCACGCCGCTCCCTTGTTCGCGTGGAATCGTGAACCACAAGTATATTCAAACCCAGTCCCGGGCTCCCGGTGTGGCAAGGCAAACAAACATCGCATAGGCAGTGATTGTGGAAAATGGGGCTGTGTGGGCCCAAGGGAGGTGCCAGGTCCTACGAGAGGTGTGAGTGGTGATCCACTAGTATCCCTGGATGCATAGAAATTTAGGTGTGGGAGGAGTGTGCCAGGAGGAGGGAACAGCATATGCAAAAGCCAGGAGGTAGGTGAAAACATAATGTGTGTGTGGAAACACAAAGGTGAAGTAGGCCTGGGTGGATGGGAGAAAGGGGAAACCCTGGAGAAGAGAGCTTAGGTCTTGAAGGTCACCCTGTGTACTCTGCCTAGTTATAAGGCCCCCTAAGGGGCTTCTTGTCACTCCCTTCCACAGGTCCCCGAGGACTTCATCTCCCGTGAGCTGTTTGACACCGTCCAGGTGTACATCATCACCAAGCCAGAGCTGCAGAACAAGCTCATCACTGTGTGAGCCCCTAGGAGGGGAGTAGGGAGGGTTCCCAAGGAGGAGTGGACAGACATGGGGACAGGAGGAGATTGATTTTGTTCCTACCTGTTCCCCTCGTCCAGCACAGCCATGGAGAAGAAACTGATAGGCTGCCCTGTGTGCATCGAGCACAAGAAGTACAGCCGCAACGCCCTGCTATTCAACTTAGGCTTCGTGTGTGACGCCCAGGCCAAGACCTGTGCCCTTGAGCCCATCGTCAAAAAGCTGGCTGGCTACCTGACCACACTGGAGGTCTGCAACACTATGGGCTTGGGTGGATGGGCAGGCAGAGTTAGGGAAGGTGTTCGCATGTCTCCAAAGCCCTCCAGATCTGGGAACCTGCGAGGGCAGGATGCCAGCCAAGGGTCCTGGGGTGTGCCCACCATGCTGTCCATGCCCCATCCAGCTAGAGAGCAGCTTCGTGTCCACGGAGGAGAGCAAGCAGAAGTTGGTGCCCATCATGACCATCCTGCTGGAGGAGCTGAATGCCTCAGGCCGGTGCACTCTGCCCATCGGTATGGCCTGGCCTCTGCAAGGACAGCAGAGGGGTCAAGGAGGGATGAAAAAGTGGCAGGGGAAGGTGGGCCCAGTCAAGAACAAGACTGGTGAACAAATTGGTGGCCAGGAGATAGCCATGAGCTTGGCTGATGATGTCCAGGGTCCAATGGATGATGGGATTGGGGAGGGGGAGGCCAACAGAGTTCTCTGGCTCTGCTCCCTGAGCATGTTTCTTCCCCTGAATGAACCCCAGTCTCTTGCTCCATAAAAGGAGGAGACTGGTCCTATGCAGAGCCACCTGTCTGCCTCCAAGGTGGCTGGGAAGACTGCCCAGTAATTGAGGGCCTCTTGGCAGAGTTGGCACTGAGGATATGGGTGGGGTCCCCTGCAGATGAGTCCAACACCATCCACTTGAAGGTGATTGAGCAGCGGCCTGACCCTCCTGTGGCCCAGGAGTATGATGTGCCTGTCTTTACCAAAGACAAGGAGGATTTCTTCAACTCACAGTGGGACCTCACCACACAGCAGGTGTGCTCGCCCTCCCCAGCTATCATGACCTGTGGCTGGCTGCAGCCCTGGCCTCATCCCTCTTCTACTGAACCTGTTCTTCCCTGCCCAGATCCTGCCCTACATTGACGGTTTCCGCCATGTCCAGAAGATATCAGCCGAGGCAGACGTGGAGCTCAACTTGGTGCGCATTGCCATCCAGAACCTGCTGTGAGTGGGGAACAGTGACATCCGGGACAGGTTTACCAGTCAGGAGGAACCCAGGGGCCCTGATTGTAGGTGCTGGGAAGGCATGGCCTCAGAAGCTGAGCACTACTGTTTCCCCCAGGTACTATGGTGTTGTGACACTGGTGTCCATCCTCCAGGTAGGTGAGTCTGGGGTCTGATTAAGTGGAGACTGGATCATGTGACTGGGCCCAACTGGGGCTGTGTCAGACTTCCAAGCCCCTTACTCAAGCCCCTGTGCCGCCTACTACCCTCTAGTACTCCAATGTGTACTGTCCAACACCTAAAGTCCAGGACCTGGTGGACGACAAGTCCCTGCAGGAGGCATGTCTATCCTACGTGACCAAGCAAGGTATTGGCAAGCTCTGGGGGAGGCCATCTCAGGGAGGGCAGGGCTACCTGGAGAGCTGACCCTTGATGCCTGCAGGGCACAAGAGGGCCAGTCTCCGGGATGTATTCCAGTTGTACTGCAGCCTGAGCCCTGGCACTACTGTGAGAGATCTCATTGGCCGCCACCCCCAACAGCTGCAGCACGTTGATGAACGGTCAGTGGGGACCCCCTGGAGCATGAGGGGTTTGCCTGAGGGCAGTTACACTCTCTGTGTCTCTCTGCAACTCTGGGTCATAAAGAAAGCAGGAGACTCCTAGTGAGCAGAACCACATGGCACTGCTAATCCAGGAAGGCTTCCTGGAGGTGGTGGGTTTTGGTGGCCAGTCTGGTCATGGAAACAAAACTGGAGGGAAGACTGGCCTGGCTTGAAGGAAGCCTGGCCCAGAGCATCACCTCTTTCTTCCTTGACACTCATCCCAGAAAGCTGATCCAGTTCGGGCTTATGAAGAACCTCATCCGGCGACTACAGAAGTATCCTGTGCGGGTGTCTCGGGATGAGCGGAGCCACCCCGCCAGGCTTTACACAGGCTGCCACAGCTACGATGAGATCTGTTGTAAGACAGGTAGAAGCAGGCAGGACCGCTGAGGTGGGGTCAGGGCAGCGTGGCCAACCCCCACCAAGGCTGCTGACCTCACCTCCACCACACCATTCAGGCATGAGCTACCAAGAGCTGGATGAACGGCTGGAAAACGACCCCAACATCATCATCTGCTGGAAGTGAGGCTGGTGGTGGCTGGATGAGGCACGCAGCTATGGCCACTCTTCTGCTAAGCCCTGCCTGGTGCATGAGGACTAGACCAGAAAACTAGTCCATACTGTCCCAAGGTTGACCCTCATTTCTGTAAATAAAGTCATTCATTTCAACCTACGTTTATTGAAGACTGCCTCTGAGCCAGCCACCAGAGAAAACCAGCAGTGAATGAAATCGCCGTGGTCCTGGCACCGTGGAGCGCCATCTGGTGGGCGGAACCGACAATGGGCATGAAAAGTGCCCACTAATTATAAACTAAAATAATCAGCCAGAAAGAAACAATCAGAAAGCTGAGATGAAAAGTGAGTTGGGATAGGAGCTGAGACTGCTCCATATTAGATGGGCAAGGAAGGCCTAGCTGAACTGGTGTAAACCAAACCTTGAAGAAGGAAGAATATACCAGGCAGAGGTAACAGGTGCAAAAGCCCTGAATCAAAATCTGCTTTGGGATGTGTGAGGAAGCCAAGGGAAGCCCGTGGGACAGGAACATAGAGGGCAAGGGGGAGAGGAGCAAGAAACAAAGTCAGGAGATAGGAGAGGAGGCAAAAGCCTGACTGCAGAGCTATGGATAAGCTGCTTTGGACATCTGAAATCTCTCTGACATCTATTCGTCGCTTAGTTGGTGTCCGACTCTCTGGTGACCCCATGCACTGTAGCCCACCAGGCTGCTCTGTCCATGGAATTCTCCAGGCAAGAGTACTGGAGCAGGTTGCCATTTTCTTCTCCAGGAGATCTTTCTGACCCAAGGATTGAACCTGGGTCTCCTGCACTCCAGGCAGATTTTTTTTTTTTTTTATGTTTAAAGAGAACTTTATTATGACAGTGAGTTTTGACTTGAAAATCATTACATGAAGTGGAAGCGAAAGTGGCTCAGACGTGTCTGATTCTTTAAGACCCCTTAGACTAGCCTTCCAGGCTCCTCTGCCCATGGGATTCTCCAGGCAAGAATAATGGAGTGAGTTGCCATTTCCTTCTCCAGAACCAGGCAGATTCTTTACCATCTGAGCCACCATAGTATTCAATGTTTTGAGGCCCAGAGGCAGCCAGATCCATAGTCATGTGAGGAAGGAATGTCTCATGTACAATTTTTTTTCTGGCCACGCTGCATGTGGGATCTTAATTCCCCAACCAGTTATCACACCACACTCCCTGCATTAGAATCGTGGAGTCTTAGTCACTGAACTGTCGGGGAAGTCCCTCATGTACACCTTTAAAAGACTCCTGGTGGGAATTCCCTGGAGGTCCAGTGGTTAGGACTCCAGGCTCAAACTGCGAAGGGCTGGGGTTCGACCCCTGGTCAGGGAAATAAGATCCCACATGCTACAAGGCAGGGGAAAACTCAGGACGGTCAAGGGTGGAAATGGGTCCAGGAACAGTCACGTGACAGGCAATGGAAGCCCGGACTAGGCAGGAGAGAAGTTGTGAGCCCTGCGCAGTATTTTGGGGGTAGAGCTAACGAGGTGGAGCTGGACGCCAGAAATGCTGGAACGAGGAGGTCACAGAGAGCATCAAACGTGGGCGGAGAGGGAACAGCTACAGGGAGAGCTGATGTGGGGCGGGCCGACTTGACATCCATCTGAGGAGGAAGCCTAGGGCGCAGGAGTCCAGAACTCTCGAGCTGCAGCCGTTTGTGAGGGAGAGAGCTCCAGGAGTCCAAAAAGAGTTGCTCCGCAGCCTGGCTAGCAGGCAAGAGGCTGGCGTGGGGGGGACCCAGGAGGGGCGGGGCCCAGGTCGCACTGCGCAGGCGCCGAGCTTACCGTTTCCATGGCGGCGAGGACTCACGCGCAGCAACCACTCCGCAACCGTAGGGTCCCAGACTTCGGCCCCGCGGGAGACCGTGGTCCCCGAGCGTGTCAGCAGCATCGCCACCCCAGAGCCAGCTGCTGCCCGTGGAGAGCCAGACCCCACCTTCACGCTCTCGGTCCGTTGCGGAGACATGGGCGACATGGAGCTGCTGCTGCCGGGCGAGGCTGATGTGCTAGTGCGGGGACTGCGCAGCTTACAGCTGCGCGATGTGGGCTCCAGAGGGTGAGGCCGCTGAATACAGGGTCAGGTGGCGTTCATGGCGTTAGAGTCCTTGAGTTGGGGAAGTGTGGGCCAGAGTCCTGGGGGGGGGGGGGGGGGGAGATTTGCCCAGTGTGGAGGGGGCCTTAAGGTGAGGAGGAAAAGCTCTCTGAGATAGGGTTATATGGTCCCGGGCCACCTTGGACCCCTCAGAATCGGGTTAGGCTTCAATAGCACCCAGCCTCGACCCCCACTCCTACTGCACGCATGTGCACTCCCACATGCACACACACCCCGTGGCAGGTGGAACCAGCAGCATGAGAACCTGGAGAAACTGAACATGCAGGCCATCCTCGATGCCACGGCCGGCCAGGGCGAGCCCATCCAGGAGCTGCTGGTCACCCATGGGAAGGTACGCTGGAGTCAGGCAGGGTTCCTGCCTTCTCACCACCACACACCCCACCACCACTCTACCTTCTCGGGAACTGGGTGCCTACACTTCCCTCTGACTGGCACCTCGGTCCTCCCCAAAGGAGAAAGAAGAGTGTGTTACACCTTTGATTTAGCACCCCTATGGGACAGGACCCTGGCGTGCCTGGTGGGGAGCAGGGTGCAAGTTGATTAGGGAGATAGTCTTGGATCCTAGAACAGCCTAGGCTGTAGGGGGAGGTCCCAGTTCTAAAGGCATTCCTGACTAGACTGTCAGGCTAGAGGGGGACCCCCAGTGAAGTGAGGTAGAACTTTGGCATAGAAGGGGGCAACCTCCCCAACATGAGAGAGAGAGGGAGTTAGAAACCAGGAGTTGGCTCAACTGGAATGTGAGCCAGGAGGTGGCACCAGTAGATGACCTGAATCATCACTGACCAAAGGGTTCCTCTGCAAGGGAAACGTGGCGCCCCCTACTGGTGAGGTGGGCTAGGACTAGGGCACTGCGAAGGGACCTGAGGAAAGAGTGAGGCCGAGGCACACAAAAGCCTCCGAAGATCAGAGAACAAGGACAAGAGAGGGCACGAGCAGGAGGCATGAGCAGGAGGGCTGGCCTGACGGTGCACTCGGATGGGGGCGAGGGGACAAGGGCTCAAGTGCAGAGGGAGCATGGCAGCCTGGGGACAAGGCAAGGACCAATCCATGTGAAGCCTGGGGCATGGAGAGCCCCCCAGAGGTGTTGGAGGCAGCTGGAAATGAAGATTCAAGGTGCAGGAGAAAGGTTTGGGGAGGAATTCATGGGGCATAGGAGAGACTAGGGGTCCAGAGGAGTTTGAGAAGGGCTGAACTGGGCTGACCTGTTGGCAGGCCAAGACAGGCCCATCTCACCCCTTGTCCTCTGCCCTCCCCCTCAAAGATCCCAACACTGGTGGAAGAGCTGATTGCAGTGGAGATGTGGAAGCAGAAGGTATTCCCTGTGCTGTGCAAGCTGGAGGACTTCAAGCCCCAGAACACATTTCCCATCTACATGGTGGTGAGCTGGGCCATCGGTGCATACCCCCGCCCGCCCCTTCAGAGGGCCCTGGACCAGAGAGGGTGGCTGGTAGGCTGTATCCCGCTCTCAGCAGCTCCGGGCCCTATCCTTCTCTTTATGTGACAGTTACACCACGAAGCCTCCATCATCAACCTCCTGGAGACAGTGTTCTTCCACAAGGTGAGACAGCAGCCCTGCCCGCTGGCTGCTGCCCTCAGCGAGAGTCTGGCGGCAAGGGGATTGTGTCTGCGTGGCCAGAGCATTACAGCCAGGATGTTTCCCCTCCTCTTGCCCTTCAGGAGGCATGCGAGTCAGCAGAGGACACCGTCTTGGACTTGGTGGACTATTGCCACCGCAAACTGACTCTCCTGGTGGCCCAGGGTGGCCGTGGTGCCCCCCCTGAGGAGGAGTCCCAGCACAGCACCCCCATGCAGGTGGGCTGAGGTTCCCTGGGGTTGGCAAGGGCTAGACCCCAGCGCCCCTTAGCTTGAACACCATGTGCCCCACCCCACCCCCCACCCCAGGAACTGCAGAAGCAGGCAGAGCTCATGGAATTTGAGATCGCACTGAAGGCCCTCTCAGTGTTGCGCTACATTACAGACTGTGTGGACAGGTGGGCAACCCAGCCAGGCCTGGGGCCTGCAGTGGGGGGCTGGGAGCCTGGGCCTGTCACCTCCGCTCATCTCCCTACCCCCGTCCTAGCCTTTCTCTGAGCACCTTGAGCCGCATGCTCAGCACCCACAACCTGCCCTGTCTCCTGGTGGAACTACTGGAGCACAGTCCCTGGAGCCGGCAGGAAGGAGGTAAGGTCCTCCTCCACCCGCCTAAGCCCCAGTTCACTGCTTCCAGGACATCTTCCAGGATTGATGGGGTGGGCAACTTGCAGTCAGATAAACGTTGCTCCCTTGCCCAAAGAGAATACCAGGATGTTTCACCCACAGTGGGCCTAGACCCGGACTCTGTCGCAGGCAAGACCTGTGTGTCCACTACTGAGGAGTCACGCTGCTCTGAAGTGAGCCCCACCCCAGCGTGGGCATGTCCTGTGGCCCATACAGCTGGGTCATTCAAAGCGCATGCAATACCTGCACCCCATATGTTGGTTCCTCTTCCCAGGCAAGCTGCAGCAATTTGAGAACGGCCGTTGGCAGACAGTGACCCCCTCGGAGCAGCAAAAGCTGAGCAAGTTGGATGGGCAGGTGTGGATCGCTTTATACAACCTGCTGTTAAGCCCTGAGGCCCGGGCCCGCTACTGCCTCACAAGCTTTGCCAAAGGACAGCTACTCAAGGTAGGGAACTCCTCCCACATGAGTGTCCACAGCCCCTGCCCTAGGTCACCCTTGATGTTTATTTTTGCCCACCCACCTCAGCCGCAGCCCTCTCTCCACACCTTGGGCCCCAGGTGATAACAGCAGCTAGTGGGACCTGGGTCCCACTGGCATCCTCAGCCCAGTCCAGCCCAGCCCAGCCCAGGCCCTCTCTGTTCCTCAGCCCTCTTGGTTAGCACCGCCTCACACTGGCCTCCCCTGGACACCCTTGCAGCTCCGGGCTTTCCTCACAGACACACTGCTGGACCAGCTGCCCAGCCTGGCAGACCTGCAAGCTTTCCTGGCCCACCTGGCCCTGACTGAAGCCCAGCCCCCTAAAAAGGACCTGGTGTTGGAACAGGTAGGCTCTCAGAAGTTGGTTGGTCAGGACCACTGCTCACTTGACCAGCTCCTCCTCCCTGCCACTCTCTGCTTCTCTTCCCCAGATCCCAGAAATCTGGGAGCGGCTAGAGCGAGAGAACAAAGGCAAGTGGCAGGCTATCGCCAAGCATCAGCTGCGGCAGGTATTCAGCCCCTCGGAGCAGGACCTGAGGCTGCAGGCACACAGGTGAGGCCTGCTGAGCCAGCAGGAGGGGGAGAAGGGAGGCAGCAGGCGTGGGTGTGGGCAGGGCTGCTCCCGACCCCCCACCCACAGGTCCAGCCAAGTCCTCCGGACCCTTTTCCCAGGTGGTCTAAGATCTACCGGCTGGATGTGCTCGAGGCAGTGGCTCCAGAGCGGCCCCGCTGTGCCTCCTGCAATGCGGAGGCCTCCAAACGTTGCTCCCGGTGCCAGAATGAGTGGTATTGCTGCAGGTGAGGGTATCCTAGGACCTTGGGCCCCTAAGTCCCACTCCCATACCCCTCGGAGCACTGCATCTTCACCAGCCCCGTTTGCCTGCAGGGAGTGCCAAGTTAAGCACTGGGAGACGCATGGAAAGGCTTGTGTCCTGGCGGCCCAGGGGGACAGAGCCAAGTGAAGGCTGCAGCTGCTGAGGGCCAACCACCCATGCCGTACAACCCACTCGAGTGTTCCCCCCCCCCAAACCTCTGGATCTCAGTCTGGCCTCTGCAAGTGCCCCAGCCTCCCGGGTGGTGAGGATAGCAGGCGGGAAGAGCTGTTGACCCATCTCCCCCCAGCTAAGCGCTCCCCACTTCCTGCTCTATCAGGCGGGTTGGCTTAGGGTGCAGCCTCCCCAACCTGGGGCAGAAGCCCTGGGCGGGGGGGGGACAAGGGCCGGATGTGGGGACCCTCTTCCTCTAGTACTGTAAAGTAAAACTAGCTTCCACGAACACGCCTGTTTCCGAGTGGCCCCTTGAGGTCGTCGTGGTTGTTAAGAGGAGGGGAGTGGCTCGCTGGATGAAGGGAGGATAGGAAACGGAGGGCGGGGACTCAGAGACAGCAGCCCCCAGCCGCACCCGCCGTCCCATTCCGCCTGTGGGCCGACACAGCGCGGGTGCCCAGGTTTCCATTGCGCCGCTCTCCTCTGCTCTCCCGCCGCTCTGCCTGAATCCTGAAGGCGGTGCCAAATCGGGGCCCGCCCCGCGGCCCCGCCCGCCCCGCGCTCGCTAGCGCCCAGAACCGGCCGGAGACCCGGCCCGATCGGGCCATGTCCGCTGAGCCTGAGCTCATTGAACTGCGGGAACTGGCACCCGAACGGTGCGCCGCTCCGGGCCGCACCCGGCTTGAGCGTGCCAATGCACTGCGCATCGCGCCGGGCACAGCGCGCAACTCAAAGCAGCAGGTCCCGGGCCGGGGCCACCGATTCCAGCCCGCGGGGCCCGCTACGCACACGTGGTGTGACCTGTGTGGCGACTTCATCTGGGGCGTCGTGCGCAAGGGTCTGCAGTGCGCGCGTGAGTAGCGGACCCAAGAGCTGGCGGGAGCGAAACGGGCAGCCAAGGGAGAGACCCGTCGCTGAGGGCCAAGTTGCGATGGAGGGGTTCGGGGGGACAGTCCCCACATTTCAGGTCCGTTATCTTTGCCCCATAGCACAAGAGAGTGTGGGCTGATAGTTTATAACCTTGCCAAGCTCCACCTGCCTTAGAGACAGTTAGGCAGAGGAGCTTGTCTGTAAATAACAAGGTGCTACTTTCAAGTTTAACCAGCGCCTTGGCCCTCCTTGAGAAAGGCTTGTGCCTGTCAGTCTCTGGGCTCACATTCTTACACCTGCCCCTTTGGAAAGATTCACTTGCCAAGTCCTCCAGGAGAATCCCTGTGGTGAAGGGAACTTACCCACCTATGGGAGAAGGGCTGGAAATAGAAACTTGGGCACAGGACTGCAAGCAGGAGTTTTGAGTCTGTCTTTAGCAAATACCTATTGCAGGTCCAGTCAACCAGCTGCTAAAACATGAAACACAACCACACACCAGTTGGTGCTTCTGCCCTCCCAGAAATCACCGGCAAGCTGAGATTGCTGTCTCACCAGCCATACACCATCTAGAATCACTTGAGATGTTTTTACAGCCCTCCAAACCCCTACCCTTGGATCTTACTGCAGACCTGTTGAATCAGTCAGGTCACTGAGAGTATACCAGCGACTTTTAAAAACAGGTCATTCTAATGTGTAGTCTGGGTTGAGAATCACTGCTCTGGCCCATTTAGGAACTTAGGGAAGATGTCCCAAGCCTGTGTGTGATGGAGACCCTCCCATCTAGTACAGGAGTTTGTCTTCATTCAGTCCCATGAGTATGGGACTTGTGGCAGCATACAAAGCATGAACAAGGACTGCGAGATAGTAGTGTTCCCAAGGAGAAATAAAGTGGCCATGGGAATGAAGAACATGACAATTTGGGTGTGTGTCAGAGGCAGAAACAGGAATCAAAAGATGAGTTGGGGTGGTTTGGTTTGGTTTTTGTTTTTTGCTGAGTTGAGGAACTCTGGCAAGGGCAGGGGGTGAGGAGAAGTGAAGAATTAAAAGGAGTAGGAAAGTGAGTTAAATGTTGGCCATGTCTGGTTGAAATGTTTATTGGACATCCAAATGAAGATACTGATACACTGAATTTGATCTCAAGGAGGAGGTCAGATGGAAGCCTTGGATCTAAGGTAGGTCAGTGTACACAGAAAAGAAAAGCGATCAGGACTGGGCCTCGGACACTCCACCACTAGATCTGGAAGCTGAAACAGAGCTGAAGCCCCCTAAGCAGAGGCTACAGTGAGGTGGGAGGAAAACCGCGGTAGTGAGGGCCCCCCGGGTATCCAGAGAGCAAGCACCTGACGATGCTCGAGATGAAGGGACCACCGCATTCCGCAGTGTGGTCTCTGAGTTTCCTGGAGGGAGGGGAGCAAGACTGACTGGAATGCGTAGACGATGAAGGCGAGGAATTAAGAGACCAGGTTGGTAAGTTTTGAGTGTAAGGGGAATAGAGAAAAATGACACGAGGGGGCACTGAGTTAAAAGTTTTTTGTTTCCCCCTCCAGTAAATGGGAGGAGGGAGGGACGCTGATAATGAGGAAGGGGAAGTTCTGCCCTAGGCGTTAGAAATCCAACTGTTAAGCAGGCCTGAATCCCTCACAGCATGTCTTCCTGCCAGTTTCTAGGCGCCGGGCGGGGGGGCGGCGCGGCGGGGAACCAACTCTAAAATCTGAGTGGCAGTGGGTATTAACGGGGACTGAGATAAGGCCGGTCACGCAGAAGATGACGAGCAACGGCTTTCATTCCGGGGCTTCGCTTCTGTCCCCGAGACGCTCCTCCGAGCTGGTGCTGGGGTTCCTCCACCTCACGGCCAGGCCTCTCTGCAGATTGCAAGTTCACCTGCCACTACCGCTGCCGCGCGCTCGTCTCCCTAGACTGCTGCGGGCCCCGGGACCTGGGCTGGGAACCGGCGCTGGAGCGGGACACGAATGTGGTGAGCGCGGGACCGGGGAGCTTACGGGCAAGGCAGGGATGAGTGGGCCACACTGCAGGAGTTCCCTAGGGCCGCCCGGGGCTACACGCAATAAACGTTTTAATAGCCGACTTCCAGGCGACAGAGAGTGGCTAATTCTGTGCGCGGGCTCCATGGGGTGCCGGGGGTTGCTGACTCGGCCCTAACCGCCCGGAGCCGCCCAGATTACGCGCAAGCGCAACTTCCGCACCTTCCCGCAGCTGCATCCGGCCTCGAGGCCACGCTGGTGCACACGCGCACTAGCCTCATAATGTCCCTTGGGAGGCGGGGCCTGCGAGGCGGCACTGAACCGAGCTGCCCCAGGGCTGAGATCATTCTTGGAGGGGAGGCGTGTGTGACCCCGCCCTTCTACATTCCTCCTCCAATGAGACGACAGCTAGATCCTGGCTGTCTACGTTTCAGTGTTAACGGTTGCGGCGCGGACACGGGTTCCGGCGCACGCATACTCATATACGGGCGCGCACGCGCACACGCGCTTGGGGCGGTGGTGGGAGCCTGCCGGTGCACCGGAGCTGGCGGGCTGGCGGGCGCGGCGATGGGCGAGGCGGACGCGGGAACGCCTTCCTTCGAGATGACCTGGAACAGCACGACAAGCAGTGGCTACTGCAGCCAGGAGGACTCGGACTCAGAGCTCGAGCAGTACTTCACTGCGCGAACCTCGCTGGCGCGCAGGCCGCGTCGCGACCAGGTGGGGACCGGGGGTTGAGGGAGGCGGGCGGGGCCGACCGCTGGGATCCCGCCCCTCCCCGGTACGTTGCAATCTCGAGAGTTTGTGGGCCGCTCCGCCCTCCTGTCAGCGTGGATCTCGAATCGGACCGGGGCCAGCCCTCGGAACCTTGTGTCGGGCTTTCAGCACATCGGTACTGCGTGCCGAGCCCTTGCTGTTTCTATCACAGACCGGTTGAACCAGAAGCAGCTGAGTGGCTTGGGGTAGACCAGGGACAGGCATTATCCACCCCTTACTAAGGCTGACTGTGCAGTCTGGACTACCGCCTCGATTTCCGCGTGTGGGCGCTCCCACCCCTTCTCTGGGGGACCTGGAGGAAGTGGAGGGGGAGGAGTCCTCGCCGGGAATTGAGAAGTGTGTTTAGGAGAGAGGCAAAGGAAGGTCCAGCCCCCTCCATTTCCACTCCTGGATGGAGCTAGCTTGGTCCCCACCTCTTGCCGGTCCCGGCCTGTCGCCAGCTGCTGGAATGTGGAAGATTCTGAGTCTCCCCTCCTCTGCAGTGGACCAGGAGTACTCACTTGGGAAGCATATATAGAAAAATCAGAGCAGACCAGGGCATCTGGGAATGGCCAGGAAGGAAGCCTTGTTTTGGACTGTCAGCATTCAGGAGCACTTGGCTTAGGAAAGGTGGGAAAGGCTAGATTGTAAAATGCCCTGAGAGGGATCATGAGATGGGGGTTACTAATCTAGGACTCTAAGGTGTCCTGGAGCAACTGCGCCTCTCAGAGCCCCCCAGATGTCCCATCATCAGAGACCTCTGTGCTGTGTGCCATGGGTCTGACCCCCAGGCTCAGAGCTGGTGCACCTCAGAAGCGCAGGACAGAGAGATGGTGACCATGAAGTGAAGTTCAGTATGCCTGGCAGCAGTGGGGCAGAACTCCTTACGTGAGCCAAGAGAAAGGAGTTACGGGTGATTATTTAGATGAAAATTCTATACCTTGAAAGCTCAGTCCAGAGTTTGGGTACAAGGTTTGAGGGTGGATCCCTGGGACTGTCCCTGTGTCACTCAGGCCTGAGCCTTTTTCCGTCGTGGAAAGGTGAGAAAAACCACAAGACACTAACCAATTGAAAAGCAGGCTGTGGAGTCCCAAGTTGTAGGTAAGACATATATATACCTATGGCTGATTCATGTTGATGTTTGGCAGAAACCAACATGATATTATAAAGCAACTATCCTTCAGTTAAAAATAAATTAAAAAAAAAAAAAAAAACATTAGTCACTCTGGATAGTGGCAGAGTAGAGGGTGAGTGTCTAGAGTGCAGCAGAAGGGAAATTCCAAGGTCCTGTTGTATGTCCCTCTGGGACAACTTGTGGAATTCTCCTCCAGCAGTCAGCTTTAGAAAATGGAAAATGAAACTCTCTCCTCTAGAGTCCTGGCAGGACAGTGCAGTACCTCCAGTCCCAAGTCCTTGAGGGAGGTTCACCTGGAGAAGGGAAGGGGCTGGAACTGAGGTCACTGCATCCCAGTTCAGGGCTCTTGGACAACCCAGGAAGGGAAGAGGGAGGACAGGCTAGAGCTCAGAGCCATCCATCATAAGGAAGGGGAATAAGTGAGTAGCATCCCTTTGATCACCCTGTTCTGTAAATAGAATTCTCTTCCTTCTTGCCCTGGCACTAGATTCTCCTCAGCTTTCCTCCTGCCCCTAGCACCTCTTCCATCCTGACACTCCTTTCCCCTGAGGCACGCCTTGTCCAAAATCCTTCTTGGATGGAACAAACACATCCATCCTTTATTCCCAGCCCCTCTAGCCATCATTTTATCCCCCTCACATCCCTCATTTTCCAGGATCCAGACCATTTGTTCTTACCAGTCCTGCGAGGTTTCCAACAAGGTCTCTGCTAGAGTTTTTCACTTCTCAATGCTCTTTTCCATCTACGAGACTTTTGGAAGCTTGGGGAAGCAAATAGGCTTTGGTTCCCACCACTCCTCCAGAGCCTCAGTCCTCAGTGTCAACGACTTACTGACAGCTGAACAGCTGCAGGTACTAGGTGAAGAGCATACTGCTAAAAGGCTGTGAACTCTACCCTGCTCCCTCATCTGTCCTTCCTATTGTTTGCATGAGATGGTGTAAGCTTGAAAGTGAAAGCGTTAGTCACTCAGTCGTGTCCAAATCTCTGCAACCCCTTGGGCTGTAGCCTGCCAGGCTCCTCTGTCCATGGGATTTCCGAGGCAAGAATGCCGGAGTGGGTAGTCATTCCCTTCTCCAGGGGATCTTCCCCACCCAGGGATCGAACCCAGGTCTCCTGCATTGCCAGCAGATTCTGATGGTTTAAGCTTAGGGGACTCCAAAGCAGTAGTCAGGAAGAAGTCTGGCTGTCCTGGGCTCAAAGCTGAGCAGGAGGTTAAGGTTATTCTGCAGAAGACCTTCTGATGGGAACTTCTCTGGGATAGCACATTGGTCAGTGATGATCTCAGCTGAGTCTGTGACACTCCCACTCCTACTTGGGCCTGTCTGACGTCAACAGGAAGTAAGGCTGATGCAACGAGACCAGGGAGTTTGGCTGAAGCCCTGGCCCACACGCCACCCTTCTGATAAGAATCCAGTCCCTGGAGGAACAAGGGGAAGGGCTGAGTGGTGGAACTAAAATCTTTGGGCTAAACCCTCTAGACAGCAGGGAGGAGGTGCATAAGCCTCCCTGTCTGGCACTTGTGGAACAGGCTCCATTAGAAGGCTGTCCATGTCCACCTCTGGTGGATTGGAGCCTGGCCTGAAGCTGCCTTTTGTGTAACTTGGGTCAAGATCAAATGGCATGTCACAGTGGCTTTCTTACTATGACTGAGACATGTAGGCCTGGCCCAAGTCCCCCGCCAAGTGTTAAGGTTGTAGCAGTTGCCCCCTCCGCCTGCCCCCTGGTGGCTGGCCTCCAGGTGTGCACCAATCCCGTACCTCTCACCCTGCAGTGAGTCCTGGCCAAGGCAGAGAGGCGAAGTGAACTGCCTTCTCCAGGACACACCTTGACCCCACCCAGCTAGGGTGCTGAGATCAAGCTGTTCCTTCTCTGAGTCCCTGATCTTATCCTGGCCTTGATTTCAAGGTGTCCTTAGACCCTTACCCAGGGCTGAGGAGATTCCAGGCCAGCAGCAGAGAAGCCAAATGATTCTGCCTTGGCTGTCTCCATAGAATACAGAACCAGGAGCTGTGATGGTTTCCTCTCATCAGGCCATGTCAGTTTCCAAAGGCTGCCCACAGGCCATTTTACAGAGTGGTCCACCCAGAGTTTATCTTCTTGCTTGTGACATGCATTGCAGAGGAATGGGTTCTGTGAGGGTCATCTCTCCTTGTCTGCCCATCTTTCAGGATGAGCCTGTGGAGTGGGAGACACCTGACCTTTCTCAAGCTGAGATCGAGCAGAAGATCAAGGAGTACAATGGCCAGATCAACAGCAACTTGTTCATGAGCCTGGTGAGTTGACAGCCTGTTTTGGAGAGAGATAGGAACCCAGCCATGTGCCTGATGCCCAGAAGGTCACAGCTGAGGTATTCTTGGGAATGCCCGAGCAGTGATTTATTCACACCCACCCTAGCCCCAAGTGGACTGGTAGTGTCCAGTCCTGTTCCGGCTCACTTGGCACCTAGTCACAGTTTGGTTTTTCCTCTTTAGAACAAGGATGGCTCCTACACAGGCTTCATCAAGGTTCAACTGAAGCTGGTGCGCCCTGTCTCCGTTCCCTCCAGCAAGAAGCCACCCTCCCTGCAGGATGCCCGGCGCGGCCCAGGGCGGGGCACAGCTGTGAAACGCCGCACCTCCTTCTACCTGCCCAAGGATGCTGTCAAGCACCTGCACGTGTTGTCACGCACGCGGGCACGCGAGGTCATCGAGGCCCTGTTGCGCAAGTTCCTGGTGGTGGATGACCCTCGCAAGTTTGCACTCTTTGAGCGGGCTGAGCGCCAGGGACAAGGTGGGCTTCCCACCCCATCCCACCGTGTGTGAGGGTATATATACATGCGCCTGTGCATGCAGGAGCTGAGGGGGCTGTGCCTGGCTCTAATTAAACCCTCCTTTCCCTCTGCCTGGCTCACAGTGTACCTCCGGAAGCTGTCAGATGATGAGCAGCCCCTACGCCTCCGGCTCCTTGCAGGGCCCAGTGAGAAGGCCCTAAGCTTTGTGTTGAAGGAGAATGACTCTGGGGAGGTGAACGTGAGTAACAGCTCTCCTTAGTTTCTTGGGTGTGACTGGGCAGGACTGGAGGGTTGCAGCTACCATAAGACCTAAAGGAGCAACAGGGCTTCGGACAAGCCCTGCAAAGCCTCTGCAGAAGTGCGTTAGCCTTGCAGCTAAAGTGGAGGTTTCCAAGAAATTCATGCCAAGGTCTAGGGCTTGCCTCAGGAAACCAGGAAGAACTATCTCGATGCACTGCTCTTTTCTGTCGTGGGAAGTCCTTAGAAGATGCAGGAGTCCATCTGATGGCATGGTGATCTCATGCCAGTTCAGAGCCACACAGATAGACACAGAACAGCATGGAGGTACCCCTCTTTAGGCATGAGAACTTTTTACCGGGAAGCTGTCCGGCTCCAAGGTAGTGCCTCTGCAGAGTGAGATTAAACTCAGAGAAAGTAGGCATGACCTGTCCACAGGTAGCTAAGGAACATTGGTTTGGTTGCCTGTCTGTGAGATCACTGCCCTATTTTGTGGGACCCATCTTCTCTATGTATTGTTGGGAATCTTAACACAGACCGTTCAGGTAGGAACCTGACACTGGAAGGCAGCATCCTAGCTGCATGATTGTGATGCAGTCGTCTTCTTTGGGAAGAGCCTGCCAACTTGGTAGTGCCTGCTGTAGCTTATGTCTCCCTTCTCCCCCTCTAGTGGGACGCTTTCAGCATGCCTGAGCTACACAACTTTCTGCGTATCCTGCAGCGGGAAGAAGAGGAACATCTCCGCCAGATCCTGCAGAAGTACTCCTATTGTCGCCAGAAGATTCAGGAAGCCCTGCACGCCTGCCCCCTGGGGTGACCTCTTGTACCCCGGGGTGGAAGGAGGAGAGTAGGCAGTGCCAAGGGCATGCCGTGTGAGTGTGCAAAGGCCCCTGTGGCCTGAGGAATGAGTGTGCATGGAGGCCCTCTCGCTGGGGGAACGAGCCCAGAGAACAGCGAAGGAGCTGGCCCCCTGTGTCCACCAGTGGGTGGAGCAGAGCATGGCTCTTCACCCTTCTGCCTGTCGTGTACTGGGTCATGGTGGGCCAGGGTTGCCCTGGGAAGCTGCTCCAGGCTTGCAGCAGGGGTAGAGGAGACAGAAGTCTCTTTAAATTTGTGTCTCAGATATGAGAATATTGGAGACCCTACAAACAGAATAGGGTCGTTTGCAGGGATGAGGGCCCTTGTCTATGCAGAACGGTTGTGTGATTTGGGTCTTGGATGGGGGAGGGGGGTGTCTCAGGATAGCCCTATCAGAACCAAGGGTGGGTGTTCAAGATAAGACAGGCATCAAGGAAGAGTCTAGGGTTCCCTCTCCAGCACCCTCTGACTCCTCACACACCTTCAGGTCAGGGAGTGCTGGCTAAGGGTGCAGCAATAGTGCCTCTGCCTCCTCCAAGGAGGATGTCCCTGGGCCAGGCTTTCTGTGAATGTGGGCACTGGCCCAGGTGTCTGTGCCTTGTTTGCCAGTCAAAGCCAGGGTCTTTCCCTTGGGTATTTTTGATGATGTGTGCGAATGTATGTACTATTTTGTGGCCTCAGCTGAATGCCTCCTGTGGGGAAAGGGGTGGGGGTAATAGTCATCAGGGCCTGGGGTCTGAGAAAATTGGCTAAATAAAGATTTAAGAATTCTCCTGCTTTTGGACTCTTTATTATGGGCCCTCATCTGCAACTGCCCCACATGCCAGTGGCTGCCAAGATTGATGGACAGGCTCACAGTAACTTTTTGAGTGGTACCATGGGACAAATCTGTGAAGGATGTGGTATGTGGATATGTACTCAGTCATCACTCAAACCCTGTGGCTAAGGTTGTAGTGGGGGTAAGAACATCAACTCCCAGAGCTTAGAGAAACCACACACTCCATGCTGTGGAGGGCGCTTCACCAAATACTGAGATACTGTTGTGGACCAGACACTGGTCATGGTACCAAAGGTTAGTGTCCACAAACCATAAAGCAAGGCTTCTGGTGGGTTTCGAAAGAACACTGAATTTGAAGTTCTTTGGCCCTGAATGCAGATATACAACCATTGGCCAATTCCTTAATTTTATTTAGGTTCAGTTTCTCCTCCACATGCCACAACTGGGGATGGCAAAAAAGGTATGGGGATAGAAGCCAAATGGGCACTGACCAGTCCGGCCTGGAGTCAGGCCCTAACATGCTGGTTTGGGGGAGGTACCCGGTGCTTGGGCAGGTCCGCTGAGCCTGACCTCTAGGGGCCGGGGACATCAGAGCCGCCATACAAGCCAAAAAACCAGGCGGAGGGGACAGCCACCACTTTCCCTGGTGGGAGCTGCCCGAGCTGGATAGAGCATGGCCTGCTGGGAGCTGACGTCTTGCGGTGCATGCTGGGGTACCTAGCATCTGAGGGCGGCTGTTGGTCCCACCCCGCGGACCGACGAGAGAAGCAGCCAATCAGAGGGGGCAGCATGCGGCGCATTCGGAAGCGGAAGTGAGGTTTCCGTGGAGACAGCGGAGCCTGCGGAAGGCGGCGGCAGCGGCGGCGGCGGCATCAGCAAGCCAAGGCCCAGGCAGGGCATGGTGGCGCCGACGGCCTTGTAAGAGCGAAGTTACCGCGGGGCCCGCCATGCGCCGGCGGCCCTGACATGGGCGCCAGCGGCTCCAAAGCTCGGGGCCTGTGGCCCTTCACCTCGGCGGCGGGGGGCGGTGGCCCAGAGGCGGCGGTCGCTGAGCAAGCTTTGGTGCGACCGCGAGGCCGAGTCGTGCCCCCCTTCGTATTCACGCGCCGCGGGTAAGGGTGCGGGGTTCCGCCCCCGGGAGGTCAGACGGGCGGCTGGGCGTCTCGCGACATGGGGCGCTCCCGCCGCTGTACCCCGTACACCCGAGACAGGACGATTCCCATATTTCAGGTCCCCATAGGAACAAGGGGTGGGGAAAGCCGAGCAGGCGGTTCCTGGTGGCCTGGCTGCTCTGAAGGTCTCCCTAGAAGAGTGGGCCTGAGGCTTGTCCCTGGGCAGGTCCTCCGTACGATAAAGCTAAGATAGGGTCTCCCTGAGACTCCAGAGCCTCTTCCTTTCATCCTTTCCATCCCAGCCTGTTAGCTGAAGGCTCCTATTCTCCCTCACCCCCAGTTCTCCCTAGAAGAGAATGACCCTCTGTTTTGTCTGTTTCCGTTCCCCACAGTGGTAGGGTTGGACCTGTTTGGGTAGTGGCTGGGAGAGTAGGACTGGGCCCTAGGGTTGAGGCTGGGATCTGGGGAAAAAGACCCTCACCCCAGGTATGTTTTCCCAGATCAGGGGGCACTGACCTCTCCCCTCCCCCAAGGGGCCCAGATAGGAGCACTAGATCGGCCTGGATCTCATGGGCCCTGGGGACTGCTGCTCAGGTGTTGCTGGAATTTGGATGTAGAATCTAGGGGGACCCCAACAATGGCAGTTTGGTTGCATCAGCCACCTGGACCGGGGAGGATGCAGCCTTTTTTCTTTCAGGCTCCCTCCTAGCTCAGGCATCTGCTATCTCAGGCTTGGCCTTGGGCCAGCAGTGTCTTCTGGAGTGAGACCAGCATACCCGGGCCACCATCCTTCTCACTCTAGAAGTCCTGGGTGAAGTCACGGGCCTGATGGAATGGCTACTCTTGCTGAACAAACCAGTGACATTTTGGTATGGCCTCTCTTCTTAGGGTCTGACAGAGTAGCACTTGCCACCATCCCACTCCCCACTTTCTAGCGGACCCAGACCCTAAGCGAGGGATTCTCCAGGCATATTAACCTCCCTTTCTCCCACCAAGGTTGTTCTTCCCCATTTGGGGGAGGGCATACTTCCCTGTGGTCGATGGCATTTGCCATGACTAGCGTGGGGCTCCAGCCCAGCCTGTTCCCCTCTCCCTCTGCACAGCTCCATGTTCTATGACGAGGATGGGGATCTGGCTCACGAATTCTATGAGGAGACAATCGTCACCAAGAACGGGCAGAAGCGGGCCAAGCTGAGGCGGGTGCATAAGAACCTGATTCCTCAGGTGAGGGGCTGGGCAGTGGTCACAGAGCCTGTGTTGAATGTGTGAAGATAGACCCAGATGGGGTCTGCTGTCATGGTGGGGGCTCTTGGGGAGGAGCTGGGAGGAACAGGAAGGCTTCCTGTAGTAGGGGCCCTGAGCCAGCCCTCACTAGCCTCTGTTTCCATGGCAGGGCACCGTGAAGCTGGATCCCCCCCGCATCCACGTGGATTTCCCTGTGATCCTCTATGAGGTGTGAGCCTGGGGGGTGGCAGGCATAAACACCCCCTGCCCCAGCAAGACACCCCCAGGCTCAAGGTGTGGCTTCCATTGAGGAACCTAGGCTGGGGCCACAACAGTGAATAAACTCCACTGGCCTGGAACCTTCAGCTGTGAGCAGGGCAGTCCTACAGTGCTGGTTGGGTGTTGGTTTGTATGTGGACCAGAGGTGGCTGGAAGCTGGTGAGGGCTGATGGCGGAGTTACCAGTCCACCTTTCCCAGCAGTCCCTACAAGGAGCATGGCAGGGCACATGCTGGTCAGGAATGCCTGGTTCCTGTGCCCCTGCCTGGCCTGCATTCTTCCAAGCTTGCCTAGGGCCCAGCCCTGCTAGAGGCTACAGCACTTTACAAGCAAGGTCTGCCTTTTTCCAGCCCCAGGGCAATGGGAGCTCTACAAAAGTGGGAACTTCCTTTCCCTCACTTCCTTTACCCTCTTGTTGGAGCATTTCAGCCGTTTGCTACCTCGATTCCTCCTGTGTTGGATAGAGGCTGGGGGCAGAACAAGCCTGATTTTTCCTGCCCACCTGCCCATTTGTTCCCAGCCCCAGATGGATGGACAATTTGCTGGCTGTTAATAGGAATAGGGACTGGTGTGGGAGGTTTCTCCCTCTACCCAGGGCTGGCCTGGTCCCTCCCCACTGCAACTAGTTGCCCCCCCCCCCCCAAGTTGAGAGGGCCTAAGATGGGGATCAGGAAGGGCTCTGGATGCCTGTGCCCCATCCCACCTACTGTATCTAATCCCCCGTGCCCTTACACATCCGCCACCCTGTGGTGAGGCACAGCACCCTAGGGCTGGTGCCAGTAGCTCTGAGGAGCCCACCACCCCTTTTCCTACAGTATACCCCTCCCTTCAGGATCAATCAAAAGAAAAGTACTGGAGCCCCTGGATAGGGGCAGAAAGGAGAGAACAACCATAATAGGAATACTTAAAATGTGAAAGCTTGTAAATAGTTTAGTCCATGATGTTGTTGGGGCAGAGTCTGATTTCTACATAGAAATGATTTTTTTTTTAATTCCTTACTGTGCAAACTCTGTGCTTTAAGCGTGTGAGAAATGGCTTGGGGAGGGTAGTCCTCAATCTAGGAAGGCTGTTGTGTTATTTGTTCAATAAAATTATTTGTAGACCCTGCATACAAGACTGACATCCTCTGAAGCTGTGACACCAGCCTGGACCACCACATGGACATAGTAGGTAGACCTGGGTCCAGGATTCTGGTCACACCGATGTCTGGCAAGGTCCAGAAAGAGCCTGAGCCCAGCCTGCGGCCATCCCAGCTATAACCAGCAGGTGGCAGTATATTCACATAGACCTCACTGCAGGCCCGCTCAGGATGGAGAGCCACTCACTGTGTATTCATGTTCAGTAAGTGGAGACCCTGGAATTGGAAGGCCCTGGGATACTTCAGTAGGGATTGGCCCCACCTGCCTGACCTGAGATGACAATGTGACCTCAGATAGGTCTGGAACAGTTGTTCTGTCCCCAGCTGTGGCAGCTGACCCCACATGAGGTCACAGCCTGAGCCCCATAGGCCTTCTAGGCCCAGCCTTAGGTGGGTGCCACTGCCCTTGACCTCCTGCAAAGCTCTGCAGCCCAGATCCACTTGCCTCTCCTGGTGGGCACTCCCAGGAGTGTAGACTTGGGGCTTCTGTTCCAGCAGGTAAAACTCAAGTCACCTAGTACTTCCTCTTATCCCTTCTGCCCTTGCCTTCTTAACCTGCCGCCTGCCCCCGTGGACATTTGGTCAACACTTCTCAGGTCGAGCTGTGAGGCCAGTTCTCTGCTAGGCCTAGCCTTTGGCCATCAGCCCAACTCCCTATAAGAGAGGAGAGAGTTCAGGGACACAGGCTGCTGGGTCTGAGAAGTTGGCCTACCTGTCTTTTTGAAGGTTTAAACTGGTCAAGTCTGGAGCAGGATCACCCTCTGCAGTCGGGACTTGAAGTTCATCTCTGGGTATCTTCCCATCTGTGCAATAAGATGCCAGGCATAAGGCCCTATCACCCTTCACTGCCCCTCCTACTGATTGCCCCAGGGCCAGGGTTCTGCCGTGCGGGTGGCATCCCGTCATCACGTCATCACTGTCCCAGTGTGGGGCACTCCCTGTGCTGGGCCTGCCCTAGCTGACTTTGAAGCGGGAAACAATGAGGGTCATGGCTCTGCTTCCCCACTCCCTCCCACTGGGCTGTGTGCACTTCCTTCCTGCTGGCTGCCTGAGGAAATGTCCCTGCCCTGGAACAGTATAGTCTGGCCTTTGTTTCCCCAGGGGCCACCGCCCTTGGAGCTTCCAAGGCCTGTGTCCCTTACAGAGCCAGCTTGGTGGTCCAAGGACACCATCCTCCCATGCCATGTCCTGGACTCCTTGGTCATCAGGGGTAGACTGTAGGATATGTGCCCACCTCCCCCACTCCACCAGACTTACACAGCCTTCTATTAGGGGAGAGGCCCCAGGCATCAAAGGGGTGGGATGGTAGGTCCAGGGGGAGTAGGCCCAGGGTGATTTGAGGGTATGCAGAGTTGTCTGCACCTCTGAAGGAGTCTGCTGGAACCCTGCTGCAGCCTTCCCTAGAGCCAGCCACATGATGGACACCCTCTTCCCACAGAAATACACCCCTCCCCTCACCCATTTTGTAAGGAGCCCTGTATTCGGCAGCATCTTAGTGAGAAACACCCAGGAATGTCCTCTGACCAGAGCACCGTACAGAAGCCTCCCAGGCCCTGTCCCCCCCCCTCCTGCCCATCACCCACATCAACACTCTGTCACACTTTGTCCACTCTGTCACACATGAGATGCTTCCGCTCTCAGTGGAAAAAAAGATGACTCAGCTCCTGTAAGTTCCCCCAGCACCCCCCACCCCAGGGCTGGTTCTCTTCACCACCTGCTTTAGGGAACCACCCAAAGCACCACCACCAGGGCCCCTCCACTCATAAGCTGCTGGATTTGAGGATAGGCCTCAGCCCTAGAGGCAGGTTTGGGAAGCTGTCAGCATGGGGGAGGCTGGCACCTTGACTGGGTCCCCCAGCCTTCCTGTCACCTGGTGTAGTTTGCTGGGCCAGGGCCTACTCGGGGGAGGGGCGGGGCAGGCAACCAGCCAGCAGGACAAACCGGAGGGAAACAGGGTCAAGGCGGTCCCTTCCCCCGCGCCTGTTCCTGGCCCTTTCCTCTGAGGGGCAGCAGGAAGTGAGGATAAAGGGCTGGGGTGGGAGGCGGGAGCCGGTGGGAGGGATGGGGTTTATCAAGTCGCCGGCGGGCTGCCCAAAGGGCAGGAGCTGGCGAGAGTAGCTTGGCTAGAGACTTACCCCGGGAAGGAGGGAGGCCGCCGACCTACTGGGCCGACGGACTCCCACACAGGTGAGCCCAGGGCAGACGACTGGTCTGTACCCTGGTACATGGCGCTCCCTCTCTCTGCTCCCAGGCGCGTGCGCGGGGAATGGGCTGGCCAAGCAGACCCGAGCCCTTTGGGGAGCTGAGGACCCCAGGGAAGCGGATTTAGGAAGAGGCAAGGAATTCTCGCTTCCATTGTAGCGCCAAGCCTGCCCCCAAGAGGGAGGGGCGTGCAGGGCGAAAAGACAGGATACCCAGCGGAGGCCCAAGGGAACCCTGCTGGCTGAGCCGGTTTCCTCTGCCGTCCGGCCAGGAACTTCTGTAAGGGTGGCAGCCTTCTCAGAGTTGAAAGAACCACTTGGGGGTTCCCATAGGGCCCCCAGAGGCTGGACAGAGGGGATAGAAGCTCAAGGACTGGCCCGTCCCAGATACAAGTCGGGAGCAGGGGGACGCCCTACCCTCAGGGCTCGCTGGGCTTATAGGCGCCCAGCCAGGCAGGCCTAACTGCGACCCAGGAGCTTGTGTTACCAGGACAACCACTGCTTCCACCCAGCCCTGGATGGGCTAAGACGCGGGTGCTAGGCCCCCCAGCCCCAGTCTGGCAAGGGGCGGGGATTCCCTTCCGACCAGGGTCGGGGGAGGGGAGCCCTGAACCGTAAGGGGGCGGGGCAGTACTGTCCCGGGAGACCGCAGACAGGCTGCGGGTCACCGTCCCCCTTTCCATACAAAGGGGGGCCCCAGGACTGGAGATTACACTCAGGGGTGCAGAGCCAGATTCACTACTGCCCCCAGCCAAGGCCTCAGGGTCCCACAGCACCTCCTTACGGAAGAGTGAGGGAACGCCACACTACCTTCATTCCCTTCCCGACCCTCGTCCTTTACGCTGTCCCTTTAAGCGGCGAGCCGCGTCGCGGAGCAGGGAGGAGTGTACCACTGGCCGCAGGTTGAGGGGGTGAACTCTAGGCTGACTTGGCGCTCATGGCTGAGACTCCGGAAGAAAGCCCCATTTGGAGGCACCTCAGAGTCCCAGACCGGTGGCTACATCCCTCGGAAGAGGATCTGCGGTCCTCGGAGCCCAAAGCGCGGTACTGGCACCTCGAAAGTCAGGCACACCTTCCCTCCCCCGCCGTAAATCCTGCGCAGGGCCCGCCTCCGCGCTGGATTCTTAAAGGGCCGGCGGGCTGGGGTGGGGGGGGCGGAGCCAGGAGAGGCGCAGAGCCAGGGCCGTGCCTAGGAGAGCTGCGGGCCGGGCTGGGACGGAGATGGAGGTGGCCATGGCGCAGGTCCCGGCGGCGCCCTGCGCGAGGTGAGGCAGGGCAGTGCGAGCCGAGCTGCTGTCTCCGCGAGCTCTGTTCTAAACCCCCGGGGGAGGCGGCCCAGACCGCCCCCCTTGCCGGCAGGGTTCAGCCAGCCCCCACGTGCGGGGCGGGGGCGGGGTTCCGGACAAAGGCCAGGTGGAGTGGGCTTTTACCCCCGGCCGCCTGGCCCGCGGGCACGCGCATTCCTCGTAGCTGTTGAGGGAAAGGCCGGTCTGCTGGCGCCACCGTAGGAGATCCACCACCCCTTTGTCCCCGCGGGGCCTCCACCAAGCTGGGAGAGAGTGTCTGCGCTGAGATAAAGTCTGTTAGCCTCACTTTTCTGTTGGGCGGGTGCTAGAAAAGATACCAACTCGGGGCTGAGTTACAGCTTCCTAGCTAGTGCAAGAGCTGTGCCTTGCCTCACCCAAATGCTGTGATTTCTCAGGACCAAGAGTTCTTCACGGGGTAGAATGGGCCTCGGTTTGGGGCTCTCAGAAACTTTGTCCTGGGTGATAGTCATGAGTGAGCCTCTGGGCAGTGAGTCCATAGCTCAATTCGTCCAATTTCAGAGGGGTCACAGACCTAACAGCAGTTCCTGCCCAGCCATAGGCTACTTGTCCAGGACAGAGCCTTGTGCTCCTGGCAGTGAGCTACCTGGATGTGTTGCTTGTCCTTCAGTGGCCTGTGGTCTGTCAGACCTGTTATAGCTAATAATAGAGTCTGAACAATCCTGGGCACGGTGGCCTGCTGCAGCATGGGCTTTGGTAGTGTGGATGGGTTTGGGGTGGATGACCTCCAGGATCCTCTAGACTTACTTGCTGTCTCCCACCTTTTCACCAGTTCCTGAGCTGGTGCCCGGCAAGTGACACTGACTTCCCGCAGCCCCCAGCATGTGGACAGGCCTGGGCCCCGCCGTCACACTGGCCCTGGTGTTGGCGGTGGCATGGGCCACGGAGCTGAAGCCCACAGCACCACCCATCTTCACGGGCCGGCCCTTTGTGGTCGCATGGGATGTGCCCACACAGGACTGTGGCCCCCGCCACAAGATGCCATTGGACCCAAAGGACATGAAGGCCTTTGATGTGCAGGCCTCACCTAACGAGGGTTTCGTAAATCAGAACATCACCATCTTCTACCGTGACCGGCTGGGCATGTATCCACACTTCAATTCGGTGGGGAGGTCAGTGCATGGTGGTGTGCCACAGAATGGCAGCCTCTGGGTACACCTGGAGATGCTGAAGGGACACGTGGAACGCTACATTCGTACACAGGAGCCTGCAGGGCTGGCAGTCATCGACTGGGAGGACTGGCGGCCAGTGTGGGTGCGCAACTGGCAGGACAAGGATGTGTACCGCCGATTATCACGCCAGTTGGTGGTCAGTCGCCACCCCGATTGGCCACCAGAGCGCGTAGTCAAGGAGGCGCAGTATGAGTTTGAGTTCGCTGCACGGCAGTTCATGCTGGAGACACTGCGATTTGTCAAGGCATTTCGGCCTCGGCACCTATGGGGCTTCTACCTCTTCCCTGACTGTTACAACCATGATTATGTGCAGAACTGGGAGACCTATACAGGCCGCTGCCCTGATGTTGAGGTCTCCCGAAATGACCAGCTGGCCTGGCTCTGGGCCGAGAGTACCGCCCTGTTCCCCTCTGTCTACCTGGAAGAGACACTGGCTTCCTCCACTCACGGCCGCAACTTCGTCAGCTTCCGTGTCCAGGAGGCTCTTCGAGTGGCTGATGTCCACCATGCCAACCATGCACTCCCAGTCTACGTCTTCACGAGGCCCACCTATAGCCGTGGACTCACAGGGCTTAGTGAGGTATGTGCCTCTCAGGGCCCTGTGTTCTTCCTTGGGAAAGCACTGCACGTTTGGGTTACCAGGGGGCCTCCTGCCCCCAAGTTTACTAACTACTCTACATCCCCTCACCTCATTCTCTCTGTAACCCTATGAGAGGGTGACCTTGTTATCTCCATTTTGTGGGTAAGAAAATTGAGGCCCAGAGATGCTGAGAAATTTGCCCAGAACTTCCCAGGAAATCCAGGCAGAGGAGGCCCTCGGGCCTAAGCATTCTGACTTTGTAGTCCATCCTGATAGATGTAGGGCTTCCCTGGTGGCTCAGACGGTAAAAAAAATCCACCTGCAAAGCAGGAAATCTGGGTTCGATTCCTGGGTCAGGAAGATCCCCTGGAGAACGGAATGGAAACCCACTCCAGTATTCTGGCCTGGGAAATCCCATGGACAGAGGGGCCTGGCAGGCTACAGTCCATGGGGTTGCAAAGAGTTGGACCCAACTGATAGATTCATGCCAGGCTCAAGCGGGCCCTTGGCTTGAGAATCGGAGGCCAAAGTGGGAGGGTGGAAATGGCTTAAACATTTAAGGAGAAAGTGAAACAGCTGCTGCCTGGGAAGGGAAGGGCTGGGCTGGAGTCAGGGGTCAGTAAATGGGTACAGACTAGGGCCTGCCTACCCCATCTGTCCTTCTCACCCTGTGGTCTCATCCGCTTCCCCTACAGATGGATCTCATATCCACCATTGGTGAGAGTGCTGCCCTGGGTGCAGCCGGCGTTATCCTCTGGGGTGACGCAGGGTTCACCACCAGCAACGTAAGTAAGACCCACCCAGCCAACCAGAGCTGAGTCTGCAGGGAGAGGCAGAGTGTTTGCGCTTTTGAATGCAAACCTCAAAGTGCTCCCCTCCTCTGTTTCCCAAGGCAGCTTATGTCCCAACAGAGAAGACATGATCCACCCCCATCCCCACTCCTGCCCTTCACCCAGGAAGAGGGAGTTGCTGTCTTGACCAGCTGTTGAGTTCCACCCTGCCCCACCTGCCCTGCTGGGTTCCAGTCCCTGCCTGCACCCTCTTCTTAGAAGGAACGGGAACAGTGAGGGCTCAGGCATACGTGCGTGCGTGCGTGTGTGTGTGTGTGTGTGTGTGTATGTGTGTGTGTGTGTGCGCGCGCGTGCATGCACGTGCTGTTAAAAGAAGGTGCAGTCACACAGTGTGGACTGAGTTTCCACGTTGGCTGAGGCCTCTGACCCACCTCCCTGTCCTCTGCCCCCAGGAGACCTGCTGGCGCCTCAAGGATTATCTGACTCGATCGCTGGTACCCTATGTCGTCAATGTGTCCTGGGCTGCCCAGTACTGCAGCTGGGCCCAGTGCCACGGCCATGGGCGCTGTGTGCGCCGGGACCCCAATGCCCACACCTTCCTGCACCTCAGTGCCAGCAGCTTCCGTCTAGTGCCTAGCCATGCACCTGATGAGCCGCGGCTGCGACCAGAGGGGGAGCTCAGTTGGGCCGACCGCAGCCACCTGCAGACGCACTTTCGCTGCCAGTGCTACTTAGGCTGGGGCGGTGAGCAATGCCAGTGGGACCGCAGGCGGGCAGCTGGGGGTGCCAGTGAGGCCTGGGCTGGGTCCCACCTCACTGGCCTGCTGGCAGTGGCAGTCCTGGCCTTCACCTGGACTTCGTAGGGGTCTCACCCAGCTGCCAGGCCAGCTGGCCTCTGCCACAAGGGGTCTGCCAGGCCTGTAGGAGCCTGCAAGGGGTGGACAAACCAGAGTCTGGAGGGGCAGAGCCCTCTGGGATGCCCGGTAGGATGTCCATACCAGCTCCCACCCCCTGTTCTAAGGGGGAGGGCAGTCCCCTGGAAGGCCCCATCTCTCCCTGCCAGAGAGGAAGAGGGGCACGGCTGGGCCGGGGAGGACCTGACCCTACTCCCCCTGCCCCTGGATAGTTTATTATTATTATTTTGGGGTCTGTTTT